TGTCCCCATGTCCCTGCATCCCCGTGTCCCCATGTCCCTGTGTCCCCATGTCTCCACGTCCCTGCACAGGAGAGGCTCTGGCACTGGCTGCAGTTTTGGGGTCCCTGGGGGCAGTTGGGCACGAGAAGTGAGCGTGGCCCCACCACAAACGGCCTGATGGTGGGGAGAGGGGGCTCAGCAGGGGGCCAGGACAGGCCATGGCAGTGGTCGCGGCTGCCGCTTCAGCTTTATTATGCCCACACCGAGGGGTGCACCGGGTCTTTCTCCCCGAGGGGTGGGAGTCCTGCCGCGCGCTGCTCCTGCATCCAGAGCCATTCCCACTCTCCCTTCCCATCTTGTTCCGCACCTCAACCACAACCCGCTTGCAGGGGTTTGCCCAGAGGAAGAGCCTGCAGGACGGCACTCCCCGACGGGATCAAAGGTCACTTAAACAATTTGGGTCTGTGAGGCAATGTGCCAGAAAATGCCACTTTTTTCCTCTGCCATGATTTTGCTCTGGACCACCCACCTGCTCGTTTTGTGCCACCCTACATCCCTAATTACAGTTTTGCCTCTGGAGAAGATGATTAGAGACCAGCCCTTGTGTCCACGCTGCTGCTGCAAAGGCAATGCTGTCCCGCAGAGCAGCAGCTGGGTCAAGGTGAAAAACAGTAGAAATAAAACCATGTAGAAGGTGGTTCCCAGTGCCATGGCCCCAGTGATGCTGAGCCCTTGGATGCCGTGTGTCATTTAAGGCCACGAGTGTCCACGCAGATGCCCAGTGCTGCCACGGCCGTCACCCCAAGGGGAGCAGGGACAGGACCCAGATCTCGGTGGCTTTGACAGTTGCCCCAACAGCTCCTCCTGCCCACCCTTCCCCGCTCCTGAAGTCCCTGCCCTCTGGGTCCAGCTGGGAGAGACCCCCGACCCCCCTGTTCTTTCACTGTGGACACTGGAACTGGAACATGCAGCACTGGTGGTGATTCGGTGTCTCAGCTGGGACCCAGCAGCACTGCAGGAGCATCGGTCACCATGCTGGTGGAAGCGACACCCCGGGAAAGGGACGGGATGGTGATACACAGGCCCTCAGGACAAGGACAACACTGACTATTTCAGTTTATTTGCTCGGAGCGAGGCGGCTCTGGGCTGCAGGCAGTGCACAAGTGGGGCTCAGACCCACACATACATTCCTGCAGAGCTGTGAAGTAAAAACATCACATTTCTGCTCAGCCTCAGCAGCAGTGACCTGGCTTGTACAAGTGTCTTTTGCCCAGGATCTCCACATGTAACCAGCCTCTTCTCTGCAGGGAAACACCTAAAATTTAACTTGGTTCCTTCTGGGGCTGTAGCTGTGTCCCCTCCCCACTTCTGCCCCAGGAAATAATCCTCAGACCAGGAAGTGTTTCTGCATTTATTTTTTATTAACCATTTATTTGTTTGTAATTGTTTTACTCTCACATTACAATCGTGTGGTTTTTTTATATTTTTTTATTTTTGTAAAATAAATAGAGATAAGTGAACTTTTAGGTAGGATGCTCTCCAGATCCTTGGTTAAACTTCATGATTGAATCTCTGCATCAGACCTGTGAAAATACAGCCCACACACACACACGCTTAGATGAAAGCTAAACAGGCCAAGTTAGTTAAAAACCCACCTCCTGGCCGCAGGGGCTGGCTGGCACCGGGGAGCGCTGGCAAGGAACAGCAGCTTCCCACCACGCACCTTTGCATTTTGCCAGGTATTTCTTGTTCCTTTAATGAATACACTGATATAAGTTAAAAATCTATTGTTTTTTAAGCTGTGTATGTTAATCGGTTATGTGTAGATCCCAAACTCTGGCTCCATGCTTGCCGGCCCCTCGCTGGCCCCTGGCACGGGCAGGGTGGAGGAGATGTGTACCGCTGGGACCCAACACCGGAGCGGCACGGGAGCGGGTCAGGAAGAGGCACAGCTCTGTTAGACCATAATTAACTTTTGGTAACTTAAAAGTGGACTTTTAGGTAGTTTTTCTTAAGTTTAAAGCCTTTGATTCATCATCCTTGTGAAGTGGCCCTCGGCCTCCCTGCTACAGGGGGGACAGTGACGGTGCTCAGGGTAAGGACACAGTGCCCAGCCTTCGGCATCTGCTCCACCTCCACGGCTCAAGGACCCTCACCAAAGCCAGCATCCAGACATGCGTATGGCACTTTACATTTAGCTTCCCTGCAGCGAGCGTGCGACAGCCACCGGGCCATCTCCACGACCCCTGCATGGCCCAGCTGCCTCAACACATACAGGAAACAAGATTATCTGGTGTAAAAGGAGCAGTGACAGGTCAGACGCACTATGTAGGTGCCATGGCAGAGGTGAAGCCACCATCCGCACAGGGAGAGAGTGTTTCTCACCCCTTCCCTCGTTAGTATTTCTTTCACTGTCAGCCTCATCGCTGGCAGAGTTTGCTGGGAGCCTGCAGACCCCATGATACCGACTGGAAGAAAAACTGGGGACTTCTGGACTTAGCAGGTCAACCTTTGTTGCTGCAGTGATTTTTGCACAGTGCAAGTTCTGTTCTTGGCCAGCTAAACCACACCTTGGCAGCACTTGAAAGGAACCTGCCCCTTTTGCTTTGCCTACCCCTTCCCCACATCCATCTCCAGACCCATTATGGATTTCAAGGGACAGAAACATTCATTATTCAGACACAGAAGGTGCGGAAGATGGAGCAGGCTTTCCCCTAGATGGCTGGGACAAAGCTGTTTTGCTCAAAGCAGGATGACCTGCCGTTTTTCCCCCTCTTCAGTGATTCTCTTGTGCTCAGACCATGTGTGGTTACACGCCCAGTTCTGCAGGGACAGACAGACAAGCCACAGCCACGTTCACACACAGGTGGGCAGCTGCATACACACAGCAGCAAGTGTGCAAATTCTCCTGACCATCACCTTGCTGAATATTAGCACATCAGAGCAAATGAAAGCCCGTGGCTTGAACCTGGAGCCTCCCTTGCTGGCTGGGTAGAGCTCCCAGGCTATCAAACGTGTTTGTGGAGTTCACTGTGGGCAGGACAGTGACTGCAGAAGTAACAGTGATCGAGATACCCCAGACCTCCCCACCAGCATCATGTGCTTGGGTGGAAAGTGGTTATGTGAGTGACTTGCTCCAGGCTTGTTGGGACATTAGAGACGTTCATTCTCTTTCTTTCCTCTTCTTCTTGTATGTGCAACCTTACGGTATGGTGGCATCCTGCCCTGCTCCTGTCATCTCAAGCCCCTTTCCTCAGGATCCCTGCCTCCCCTTGCCACCAAGCTGCCTTCTGTCTTTGCTTCCACCAGAGAGGATGCAGCAGAAAGGACAAGGTTCGTGCAGAGGAGACACTTTCCTGCTTCCCTTGCCCACACTCAGGCGGTGCAGGAGCACATACACTGTTCTGCAGACGGACAGCTCGGGTCTCGCTGCCCTGTCGGAGGAATTACTGTTTGGCACAGGGTAGGCAGCAGCTGGAGGGGTCCCATGGCCCGGTCGAACGCACAGAGCTGTAGGTGAGTCCTGACTTCAGTCCTTAAAGCAACCTACGCTCCAGCAAAACAAAGAAACAAAGACTAAAACAGAAAGCCCTTTTCAAGGGTATTGCCTCATCCAGTCCTTCCAAGCTCAGGAGCCGTGTTTCTAACGGAGAAGCCAACCACTGGAAACAAAAATAAAATGTTCCTTTTCTGTAGCTTTTACAGGATATAGCTGGGAAAAAAAACAAAACAAAACCAAAAAACCCAAACCAAAAAAGGAGATTGTCTCTTTTCCCCTTGTCAAAATCATCAGTAGCTAAGTCAGGAAAAAAAAATGTTCAAGTTATGGGTTGCAGCAGCAGCCAACACTAAACATTCAAGTCGATAATTTCACTATGTACATTATGGGTGAGACACGGCCCTGCCTGCTGGGACTCCCTTCTCCAGTGCCGCTGCCACGAGCCGTTATCTGATCCGCTTCTCCACTGAGTACACCGAGATGTAGTAGTCATTGCTTCCGACTGCCAGATGAGGCTGTGGAAAGAGCAAATCGGGGATAAACGTACAGGTGTCACACGGTAATGAGAGGCACATCACAGGCAAAATGGTAACGGTCGACATTTTCAGCAGTAACGCCCAGATGCTCGAAAGCTCTTAAGTGCATCTGCCAACGCAGCTCTGACGACATTTCTGCCAGCACCTACATCGTCCCAGCGAGTTATATGCCCATTTCAGCCAGAGGGAAAAATTATGGTGACTATTAGTTGCCAACTGCTAACATAATTTTTCTAAATGACTGCAAATCTGCTAGTTAGGAACAGTTGCCTGGACTGAAAATTAGCATTCCCTCCACCGAGAGGCCCAGGAACAATCCTAGCCGTGGAGACTCAGGCTGGACAGGGCTTTGTTTGTTTGCTTATTTAAAGAGCAAAACATTTCAAATGATTAGTCACTTCTTTCTCCGTTCCCCCAAACTGCAGAACAGCAAAATCACTCTTTAGCTTTTTGCAAAGCGGCTTTTTGAAGCCGAGGAGTCAAGCTTTCCTTTAAACTTGCTATCTTCAGGATGTAAAATGCACATAACCTAGGCAGGGAAGCTGCCTTCCCTCTCCCTGCCCAGCTAATACCAAATCTTCACAGGCTAGCACAGCTCTTCCCTCCTCTCTTCTCAGCCCTTTATCATTCCCACCACTCTTTCCCATTACATATTAAATATTTGTGTTCTGATCTGCGGGTTTCTAAAATAACTGTCTAAATGCCTTCTTTAACCTCCTCCTGTTTTTCCTATCCATTCACGTTGTTTTCTCAGGCTTTCAATCTCCTTCATTTATTCTCGTCTCTGGGTGAGCCGAAGTCCATAATGCAGATGGGCACCTGCCACCTAATTAAGTAGCAACCAGATTCTCTCTCTTACAACTACTGCAGAGCCACCTCAGCTCTGATGTATTCCAAAACTTCCTTTTTACTCTGATTCATTCTAGCCTTTATCAGCTTATGCCTTTAATTTTTGCAGTTCTCTCATTTTTCTGACGTGCAGTTTTTCTACTGCACAGCATTAGGTCTTCCTAAAGCCTTACATAAGGCGATGTAAAAGCAGCCACAGAGACACGAGGGTAAGCCCACCGTCTGCAAGAGAAGAGGCATGGAATAAATAAGCACATAAAATTTTGTGTGCTGGAAGCAAGAGACTTCACCTCTCCAGTCAGCTCCAGGCAAATTCACCTCGGACAACTTCTGTGGCAAGAACTACAGAGCTAGGCCAGGCTGCAGTCTCAAAGTGATAGGAAGAAATGGGAACAGTCTATCAAGTCGACCCACGAATAAAAAGGGCTCAGCCATTGGGAGTCCTGTTCTAGTCTTAGGTGCACATCACAAACTGGCAGCACCAGCAGCGTGGTCATCTGGAACAGCCTGGAGGACAAGCACCAAGGACTTGGGCTGAGAGTCAGGCTCAAAGCATTCTCAGAAAACTAGGTTGGGGCAGCATGTCTCTGTGCTAGAGGAGTGTCTGCGCCTTTCCCTCTTCCAACACAGACATTAACTAAGAAATACAAATTCCAAAATCCAAAGGGAGAGAATACAGACCCAGTGAGGATGGAAAGCCAGGCAGCTGATGGCTCCAACTCTTTGTCCCATAAAACCATCGTAGTATTTGATATTGTTGATCAGCTCCCCGTTTCCGTTGTAGATTGCAGTGAACTGATTCATTGAGCCACTGGAAGGGAATCAAGAGAACATGGTGTCACTGAGAATGCTGTGGTAAGAACAATATTGTTGCCTACAGCCCCCTTTCCAGCTGTGTCGACCTGAGCTGTTCATCAGACTAGTGCGCAATGAGTTCTTGTAAGTGGGGAGACTGACTTTAACTGTACTGCAGCAACCTCAGTGCAGAAAGATTTACAGAAAGGCTGGAACCACAGTTACCTGTTACACTGAGACAAAAAACCACGAAGAGCTGATGCACACACACACACTGAAAGTGGATCCCCCAACAACCCCAGGATACGTGGCTGGTGGAGCCGTTGCTGGTCCCCACTCAGAGCCCAAAAATACACATGCTGACATTGAACAGGGATCTGACGTACGGGTGTAAGACTGTACACCATCATGCCAAGTCACCAGTGCAGAGGTTTCACTAATGCACGCAAGGGATAAAATTCCTGAGCTGCGAAAATGGGAAAGAAGCCGCACTGTTTGTGGCGAGGTTAAAACAAACAACAAAACCAACAAAAACCCATGAACCATGTCTGCAGAGACAAACTGTCCTCTCCATCCACTCCAGGGATGCAAGAGAGGAAACCAGAACTTACCATGCAAAGAGGTTGGCTTGGGGGTGAATGTCAAGGGCCGTCAGCCCTTTGACTATCTGAAGGACCTTCATGGACTCTGGCATCCGGGGGTCAAAGAACCGCACATCTCCATTTACACTGCCAACACATGAGTTTCACAACGTCAGGCTGTACCCAAACCAGATCCTAAAGTCCAGGAAATGGAGCCATATGCCTGTCTGTGAGCTGCCCACCTCGATCAGAAAATTAGGATAGAGAAGACATGCACCCTTGCCTTCTCTGTCAGTACCGCTGAATTCCCACTGATGTGACTTATATTTGGTACCATCCCCAACGCATTAAGTGCTGTGCAAACAGCTCTGCCTCTGCCCTCAGGGGTGATCCATTATTACTTTTATCGCTTACAGCTCATCGCTGAGTGTAAGTGCCTTTACTGTTATGTCATACTCAATACTCCAAGCTGCATGTCAGACCCAAATTCCTTCTCCTTTTCGCAGTAGGAAATTGTATTAGAAAACTCTAACCAGATGGGATCTGCTGGTACCATCCATTATGCCAAATGTCTGGACACAGATGCACAAGTCCTCGCTGTCCAAAGTACTCTGTGGACCAGGTGTAACAAACCCTGCTAACGCTCAGGCGATGCGTAAATCCTGTTAATGACTTTATCAAGGAAGAGAGGGTGGGGAAAGCAATAGTGGCAGTGGCAAGATACTGTGCTTAGTAGATCAAGCACCTTTCAAGCACAAATGATTCCTTTTTGTTAAGTGATCTCTCTGAAATACTTCAGTAGAATCATGTCTGTTAGATGTGAAAAGGGTACATCTTTTCCTACAGCCCTGGAATGAACAACTGAAGATTTTGTTATGGTACTTCTGTTCTTCTGAGACCCTTATAAGAGACTGGTCAACTGGTGTACAGAAAGACAAACATAAAAGTCTTTCATGGAAATTAAATTCAAAATCAACTCATCCAATCTTATTCTGCTGGCAGCAGAAGTAAGGCTTTTGGTATTACAACTTTTAAAGTGTTATTTTTTTGAAGTCACTGGTGGCCATACAACTGTGAATCACCATACAGAGTTATGAACAATGAAAGCATTAAGAAGCATATTGCCTTCAGTTTCTTTACCTCTAGAATATCTAATACTAATCAAAAGGCTGTTATACAGAATTACTTCTATCATTATAGGAAGCTGCAACTCCAGCTGTCACATAATTAAATTCAAGACAAATTAAACTTGAGGTTGATTTAGATCCCGAAGACTAGATGGAAATATTGTTTGAAAGAGATCAAATAGACAGTAAATTCATTTAAAGCTCTGAACCATTATAAGACTTGAAAATGGTTCTGAATATATTGGAAGACCATGCAAGAGCTTTAAAATGGAAGTGAAGTTCTGTGATGAGGGACTACATAGGAGAACACGTCCCAGGTGAACAATAACAGGCAACAACAAGTCAACAGCAGCTAAGCTACTAAACTAGAATATTCAGAAGGTGTTTAAGGACCTTTTCTAGCAACGCTGTCAGCCTGATAAAAGCAGACCTGCTGGTTAACGAGAAGCACTGTGGCAGCACTAGCACATAGATCAAAGTGGCTGAACTCAGTACGATGTGGTGAACCAGTGCCGGGCAATGGAGAGCCGCAGGATCCAGCTCCGAGTCACCATTCCTGTTACAAACTCCTGCCTCTGGTCCAGAAAAAAAAGTTTCACTGAGGTTCAGAGAACTGCTCCACAAGCAATACAATGCCTTCAAGTTTTTCAGGAAATAGCTAGACCAAGACCTCGCTACGTCCTAACATTTTTCTTGGATCTTACTGTCAAGTGAAGAAGGGCGTGAACTGGGAGAAACTGAAATCAAGGTGGCTTGTCTCAACAAACCAAGTTCCTCTGGGATAAGACCAGACCTGTCTTTTGAAGTATGACATTTTCTCATACTTATTCAATCCCAAGAGAAAGTACCACGTGCTGAGAAGGGCACTGAGGAGAGGGAAAAAACGAGCCTGCAGACCCAGGCTGGCCAAGCGTACAGGCCTGACCCCTGGGATTGTTGAAGGAGATTAAGGAAAGGAAGATTAAAAACTCTAATATGTGAGCTCAACAAATCTGGCAGCTGTATCACATAATCCCCTTTCTGAAAATCTTAATACATTTTTGCTGGCCCATCCCCCACCTCAGGAATGTTCTGAATCCTGGAAAATTATGTTCTGTTTTCATTTTGTAATCAAGAAAAAGAGCTTCTTTGTGTGCAAACAGTGGCTTTGTAACACTAAATTATATTCTGCTGTTCTTTAATGGCCAAATAAGTATATGCTGCTCTCTCCACAGTATTTACCAGGCAGCAGAAATGGATTTATGTGTAGAAAATTGCTAGACAGCAAAGTAATCCTGCACAGCAATATGCCCAACAGATGCAACATCAACCTTCCTTCTCATGTTCTCTCTCAAATGACCCCACAGAGATGTTGGCAATAAAGAACAACAACCATAAGATATACTATATCTAGCTTAGGTTTCTGGTTCACTCCATTCCTCCCTCACACGCCTCGTGATAGTGATTTCAGCAAAGATGCCTTCTTGTTTACTCTCAAACCACACTAACAGGCTTCCAAGGAAAGCTTCAAATTTCTTTTTGCCTTCTCTCCACCAAGTTTGGAGCAGGAGTTAATTACTGAAGCAAATGTCAAACTAAAGAGCTTTACCCTCTTAGCTCTTGAAATACCAGAGGCAGAATTTAAATGGAAAACCAAACTGTGTTTAAGAGAAAACAGCTCAAACAGTAAAATCTCTTTTACCTGACACTCATGATGTTGCCTTCTGGATGTTTCTGCAAGTATGCTTTCACCACCCAGGCTGTGTGCTCTCGGTAGGTCATGACACGGCTGAGGAACAAGCAAAGAAATGTTTTGAAGGGAAGGAGGAGGAGGAAATGTGAGCACCCCACTGCGCCTGGGAAGGACGGGTAGTTACCATTCACTCAGAGCCATCCTCCTGTCAAACACGCGGATGGAGCCGTCACCCAGCCCCGCCACAATTAATGAACGATGAGAATCACACGAGAGGCTGGTCACACAGCTGTCAGCTCCAGTGGGGATATCCTAAGGAGAAAGCACAAAAGAACCAAGCTGAGAACATGATGTGTCTTCAAGTCATTACAGTCAAGGTTCTAAACCAGACGGACCCACTGTCCTCCTCCTCTTCCTCTCCCCATTCTGTAAATCAGTCCAAAACTAAACCAGGGTTTCCACTTGTCACTCAGAACACTATGACACTGCATCAGTGTGAAGTTTTCCTTCAGGCTCTCCGGACACGACCAGAAATGAGGTGGTGACCCTGGGGATGACGGTCACTGCTGCTGCCGTGTTTGAGCCACAAGTCCCACAGTTCGACCCAAAGAGCCAGGCCCAGAGAAGGAATTCCAGAAAAAACAGCTTTTGCAAGTCATTCAGCTTTATAAACCAAAATGAAGGCAAGGTCTATTTTGGGAAGGATGAGTTAACATTATTGTCTACTAAGAATATCTAATTAGTTAAAATAAAAGACCAGAGGAATTATTTCTCCATAAACCATCTTTGTTGTGTACAGGTTGTAAATGCGATTAGAATGGCAGGAGAGACGGTATATATCTGGAGGAGAAGAGTCATATAAGACAAATACACCTGTATAAAGCAAAAAACTCATAATAGCATACATAACACCACGTATAAAACCAAACATACAGTATGCTATAGGTAACACCACCCATGCAAAAAAAGGTACAACAAAACTGCAAGGTATTAGGTACAAAGTTGCAAGGTATTAGCCCTTTTTGTGCATCATATCAACACCCAAAAGAGTTCTAGGAAGTTATTTAAACACCTCTTGTAAAAGCAGGGTTTTTTGGGTTTGTGTTGGTTTTTTTTTTTTTTTTGTCTGTACCAGACAAAAACCATATCTGGGCCCTGGAAACAATAAAACGATTATACCAGAAGGCAGTTCCCTTTACCCAGAATGGCTCCAGTTATCATTAATGAAGTCCATTTCTTTCAGTTTCTTTTTATTTTATTCTTTAAACACTTAGCTCTCTTCCTCCCTTCATCATTAGGATCACCATTACACTTCTGCAGAGCCCTGGTGGTGGTGCAAATGGGCCAAACTAAGCAGACTATGGTTGGACTGTCTGAGCCTGACCTTCCTCTTCTCCACACCTGGCAGCCGCAGGCAGCACGCGGCGGTGAGGCTCTTGAACAACGTCAGAGCGGACACGTAAGCCTCAGACAACACAATGAGCTGCCTGACTACAATACAGCACCGGAGAATCACTGACACAAGATAAAGCGAGCCAGTGCTGTGCCACCTATCAGTCCCCACTTTAGGACATGTGACAAGTAGATCCAGGTTATCTCATTAGATGCCACACACTGTGTGTATTAAAAAAAATGACATGGAAAAGGCTGGAGCTTGCAAGGACAGCTGTGCTGAGAACACGGTGTGCACTCTTACTCTAACGCTGCTACTTTCCCCCTTTTTACTTGCTATAAGCAATGTAATTGTTGGGAATAATATCTACATCTGTTATGAGGAAAAACATTTTCAATTAAACAGGTAAAAAAGCTAAGCAGCACTGACAAAGTAGGATAACAATCATGAGGCACGTTAGAACTGCATTAGCTAATTTCACACTTCAATCCTATTTTTGCTTCTCTGCATATTCACCTTTCCTAGCTGCTATTCACAGCCTCAGCTGAGTGAAGATGCTGCTGGCTAGAGGCACCAACCTTCAGGGCTGTTCTCAGCAGCTCTTCTAACTGCCTAAACCCAGATCCTGTCTTTGAAGCGGGAACAATCAGCAGAAGTGAAAATGAAGTACTTGCTTCTTCAGCTACATCCCAAGTGCTTCCAGAGGTACACTTTTTGTAGTTCAAAGAGTGGGAAGGCACCTTTATTAGCTTGGATTACATAGCTTCGCTGCTCTTTGTGCTGAATTTCACTTTTCCAGTGTTACTGAGTCAGGAAGTTTCAATCACTTGAATTTCAACACAACCAATCTTTGCAATTAAAAAAGAAACAACATGTTTTCAGATACTTTCAGTGCAATCATTAATCATCATAATTTAAAAGATTTTCACCTCCTGAATTTTGCTGTTCCCTAATTTACATAGAAAAAATAATATGTGAAAGTAATTAAGATTAACATAGGCTTAATTATCCTGCATTGCAGGGTCAAAGTGTCGTAATTAATGTTCATCCAAGGGTAATTAATTTCTAGAAGCTTTGAAAACTAGTCTTCCTTTTTTCTCCAGCACAGTGACTCCATTCTCACAGACCAGCTGCTTCTCCTTATAATTTCTGAGAAACTTTCATTTGATTACAAGCGACATGAACGCTTGCTGCGTCTTTTCTCCATTACATTGCACAGAAGGTTACGTACGACTGAAATACTGCTTTCGTGCTGCCTTGTTTCAGAGGCGAGATGTGAACACCCTGGGATGCCCCAGTGCACGGGTCCGCCCAGCTCCCCAGGGAGACGCAGGGATGCTGAGGGAGCTGCCAGCAGGCTCGCAGGCATCTTCATCCTTTGCTACCCTGGGCCAGACAACATGGAGCAAACTTCTGACCTGAGTCAGACTGGCCCGAGCTGGCAACAATTCCACTGGCTGCACGTGAGCAGTGCACGGTTAGGGAATGCTCGTGTTTCTGTCCTGTCGAGCACTGGGGTCCTGACTCAGGAGTGGACTGAGCACGTATGAACGTGCTCTCTGTGTGGACACAGATTCCCTGAAAACAGACCTTTGGCTGGCAGGTACCAGTGCAGCGTTGCTCTGTAAATAGCTCTGTGCGTGTCCCAGAGAAGCAGAGATGGCAGCAGCAAGTCTGAATGCTCTACCACCGACCCAACTCACCACCGAATTTCCTCAAGAATTTTTACACTATTTCAATTATGTGCTAATAGGAAACCTTATCTGTATGCTGGGGCCTGCCTCTGGATTTCACAGCCTCACCCTTCCCACACACTGCTGCACACTGCCCAGAATAACAGCAGCAGCTTCCAGGAAAGACTTGACATGCTCACTAAGTATGTGTGTATTTTTATTTATCTTGTAACATGACTCTGAGGCAGGGAAGCAAGAGCTCCAGAACCTGTCAGGTCTTCACAGATGAGTCTCAGATGCTTTGGCTGTGCACGAGGTAACTCACTGCATGGCATGTTTTCTAGGAGGGGAAAAAGGTGAATGGGATAAACACGCAGATGTTACCTGTACTTTCATTTCCCGATCTGTGTCCCAGATCCGGATTATCCTCACATCTCCCGATGTCATCAGGAGCCCGGTTTCTTGTTCCCAGTCGACTACCATTCCTGCTCCTAAGATAAAACACAGGCAGGACATGCAAATTACTCTCTGCATCAGCACAGGCAGAGCTGCACTAATTAGAACACCAGCTTTCATGACCTCACACTACAGAAACTATCATTAGAAGAAATATAAAATTACATACACGTGCATCCATATGTCCTCCGAATGGGATCAGATCAGCTGGTCCTGGATTTGAGTCCAAAACATGTCTTTGACCCCTTATCTAGCTTAAGTGCTTAGAAAAGCCAAGGTGCAGATGGCCCCTCTGTAGGCAGGTGAATACAGCCTTCCAGGGACCTTGCCAAGCTACTGGGGACTTCCAAGGGAGTATAAATTATCCACTACTTTAAGAAAACACCAGATTAAATGAAGATTGAAGTAGACTAGACTGGTGACATCTCACACAGCAAGACCTGACAGCCTCTGGATTACCATAGAAATATCTGGCTAAGGGGCGATGTTTCTAAACAAGGAATAGCATAGTCATTGCTGCAAGATAACGAATTAAACAACTTGGTAGGAGTAAAAACCAATTTGCTATACAGACAGGTAAGGAGGGGAACATCCTGCAATTACACTAGCTAAAATATGAGAGCTTTTTTTTCTCATCTTTGAGGGCATAAACTGACGGCTAGGTGAAGTTTAGAAAAACGTCTGATCCATGTTGTAAGAGAATTACAAGGGATTTTCTATCCCCAGAACACCTGACATGGGCACCTGCCTACAGACAGGTTAGTAGCCTGCATGAACTCATGAACTTTGCCAGCATGGCAATTTCCAGAGAAGAGTAAATGTATGTCACCTCCTTTCCCAGCTGGACGAATAAGATGTCCAAAAGCCATCGAGTGAGCGGGCTCTCTTAAGCACAGAGCACACAAGTATCAGAACAAACTGGATACTGGGACTTAGGAAATAGCTGGCAATAAAACGCCTGATTCGGCAGGGGAAATCTCCGAGGAACAATTCTTGTTCATTTAATTAGAAGGGACTTCTCTGTACCTGTGTGCCGCCTCCACAGTACAGAAACGTTCTGCTTAAAGCAGAGAGCTGTACACCAATTATCTCTTGCTTTTTATGCTGCAAAGGCTGCCCAACCCCAAATCTACTGGTTTTCCAGGGAGACTCTTATTCATACATTAAAAACACAAACAGAAAACCCCAGGAGCGCTACATGAGGGAACCGGACAAGAACTCCATTTTTTGTGTTTGTTTTCATCTCCTGGGGCAGGGCTCTCCCTTCAGCAGAGGCAGAAGCAGGATCCTTGCCTTGCAGAGCAGTGGTTCACCCTCTCATCTCTGCCAAACCGAGACTCTGGTGCTGAGAAGTATTTTATAACCACATGCAAGCCAGAGTCAGAAAGCACTCTGCAATGCATCAGGACTGCAGGCTCCTGCTCCGAGCCATTCGCAGTCGCCTTCAGTGGGATTCCTGTATTTCCACAACTTGCTTGTCCAGAAGGTACAAATGTGAATTTGTCTCAATTTACTGCTAGGAATTAGCCCCAACAGCAAATTAAACCTACCCCAACATGCGCTTTCTCACCAAAGGTCCCTAAGTACTTTTCACCAGACCAAACACCTTTACAGGGCACAAAGGGAACAAGAGAGGCATCCTACAAACACCGAGTTTTCTTCAAAGATGATGAAATGACCTTGTTTTACACAGATCCAGATAAAACATTTTGCCCATCTTCCCCTTCCTAAATATCACATCCAAGCTGTTTCCTGATCTTGCTGCATACCACTGAGAAGATTACTGATGTTTATTGACAGTCCGTCATCTTACCGCAGGAAATTCGGGACTCTCAGCTAAGCTGAGAGCTTGTATCTTTACCTTGCGAGTCAAATTGATTGTTACTTCAGATTGCCTGGCAGCTCGGAGGGCTGCTAGAGATCCGAGGCAAACAAGCAGGCAGTGATTTAGATGATAAACATCACTGAAGTGTTTCCATTTGTCATCTTGTTTATGGCCCATGTGACAAGATAAACCTGGCAGGCCGAGATAGATACCGCCATTACCATCACTGATGGAGTTAAGTAGGCAATGTGCTCTTAGGCAGTTTTAAAGCTCCCAATTTTCCAGTTACATTCCCCAGTTTGAAGACAATGTTTTTCTTCAGTCTGATCGGTAGCAAGTCCCCAGCCTGCTGTGGTTCCAGGTGTCTTTTCTGTGGAAGGGGATAGAGCCAGTGAACTTGGAGTGATGACTGGCATTTTTGGTGCTTATCTTGGTGCATCTGTCAGGAATTTAAGCACTGAGTATATTCAGTGATGCCATCTAGAAGGCTAGGGAAAGTTTCACTGAGGGACGAAGCTCCAGAGGAGTTTCCCTTTATGTAAAATGGCACAGACATCTCCCATGAGAGATGACCAGGTAGAAAGGACAAGGGTTCACCCCAAACCAGGAGCTGACAGAGAGCCCACAGGTGGAAAGAAAGGAGGGAGATGATGTTGGTGTATGTTGTGCTCTTCCAAGCAGCCAATGCAGCTCCTGCCTTTCTTATAAAACTTAAATAGTCCATATAAATGATAACCTCTACTCTCTGGAAGAGGCAAGGGCAGCATTTTGATCGTCCCATAACAAGGCATCTTCCCTTTCTTTCATCAACCACCTTCTTCTCTCAAGAAAATACAAAATACCATTTTTGCTGCTTCTGATGCACGGCGCTCGCGGGTGGACTAGGCAGTCTCAGAGTACAGTTTGCTCATATTGCACCACACAACGCAGGCATCAGAAATCACAGAATATTTGCATAAAAGCCGCAGCCGAGGAGAACTGCTGGCACCTTCCCGCTGGGAGCCGGAGCCGGCTCCATCTGCAGCCCGGAACGGTGGTGGGTCCTGGCTGCAGAGGTTGTGCCTGTGCCGAGCACCAGTCCCGGACCAGGGGGGTCCGTCCGCTCCCTCTGCAGCCTAGGCGATGCCCTGACAAAGAAGTGGATGAAGGAAAGGGGGAAAGGGGACCCCAGGATGCGACTGGAAATGCTAAACCAGAATTCAAATGTGTCTGAAGAGAAGAAAAGCCTCTGTACATAAATTTAAGTTGTTCACAAGCATGTAACAGGGAAGGAAAGCTTCCTCCGAGTGTGAAATGTTAAATTCAAAGACGACACAGTACGAAATGAGACATAAATAGCCGAACCACTTCTGTGTACGAGCAAACGTTTTCATGGTGGAAATGATAACAGTATTGGCTCATGTTTGTATGTTAAATTCCTAGTACTTTGGGATGAGAAGCAAACGTGGGACTTAATACTAATTATCATTTCCTTTTTAATTAACAGAGGTCCTTCTCCAGGATGTTACAACTGAGACTGCAGTTCACCTGCTGGGTTTTGGCTTGCACATTTGGCACCTAAGATGCTTCTCAGCCTCATTCTAGCAGAGAGGTAACGTACTCTGCAAACCCATGCAATCGCAGCTCCTTGCCTGAGCCACGCAGCCAGGTTTTGCATTACCTGCCACCCCATGTCCAAGCTCCCACCTACGTACAGAAACGGAGTAAAGACGGGCAATGCCGTGACACCAATGCAACCATCTGATAAAGGCCAGTAGTGAAACCATGGCACTCTCAGAAGCCAATGAATTGCAGAAACAGGCATCCTAGCAATGCATTTCTTTTAATGCATCATTAGTTAAGATTACAGTTTTCCCATAAGGAATGTTATATTCTCAGATAATGAGCAACAAATCTTCCACAGCTCAGGAAAATAAATTTTTAAAGGTTTGTGGTTTTTTTTATCGTTTGGAGTTTTTTTGGTGGGTTTTTTTTTTGAGTCTTTTAACACTAGTACTTGCAGTTCTGTATGATGTGAGTTTATATACAAGGCAACACACATCAACAGCCGTTCTTGAAGCTGTAACTTTCTATGGCTGTTCCCTCAGGATTCCCCCTGAGCAACAGATATTTGTCTGGATGGGATAGTTCCTTGTGTAAATTTCAACAAATAACACTGGTGTTGAAAGCGGCTGCATTCTGAGTGTCTGTACTTATTTTTAATGTCACTGGCATGTGGCCAACCTGTACTTGGCGTTTCAATAAAATCAGGAATACCTACATAGAACACAATATAAAAGCATCTTGGATTCTGACTGATGATTTTTTAATCATGGGCCTTCCTAGTTGAGCAATGAGGTGCATCACTGTTTTAATTTCCAGGAAGCAGTGGGAGGGTGGTATGACCTCACTCATCATTAATTTCTACAACATCCTTTCAAAACGTATCACTCTTTGGATGCCAAGGACTATGCGCAGCAAGGGAGAAGAGTAGCTGTGATGCTGAGAATCCAATTAAAAGAACACAAACCCCTGGAGCTGCAACTTCTCCAATTATTTTATTGCCATGAAAAAATCTGACCAGAAATAAGGTTCTTCTCCCTAACTTCTTATTCCTAAAGGACAAGATACCAAACCCCAGGAAGATGTGGAGATAAGAATCACTCTACTTTTCTCTCTCCTCCTTGTTCTCCAGTATAAGCTCTGTTTGAGTGTGATTGATTTGATCAGCTCCTTTTGCAGGTTAGAGCCTTCCCTCTGCCAAAGCTCCTCTCTGTCGCAGGCTGCCCCAGGCAGCTCAAGAGCCCTGCAGCTCCCCATGAAACTTCCCTTCCAGTAAGCTGCTAAATTTCTAAGAACGCTGCCTCTCCACCCTCTCCCATCTGGATTGCTGACTGACTGCCAGAAGAGTCAGCAGTATTCAAAGCAGAGCAGAGCCTCCAGAGGGCAAGGTCCTGTTTCTCTGCAGAGCAGGTATTTGACATCTTTCACTTTGTTTCAGAAGCCCCAGGAGAGCAGGAAGGAAGCAGGGAACTGGCAAGTACGTGCTTATTTTTTCTTGCTTGGCATCAGTAGAAATTTTCTCAAGGTAGGACAGATTATGGCTGTTTACATATCAGCACCAACAGCCCCCATGAGGCAGCGATGGATAGAGGTGGGCACAGGTCAGATATATGTTCTCTCATTAACACAGTCTCCTTCTTCGGATCGCACATTCAGTTATGCCGACAGGAGGTAATGCAGCGGTGTGCTGAGACACCCCGAAAGAGCTCTGATGGAGTAGGAGATGAAGCAGCCTGGGCAGAAGGTCACACTAATGTGTCTCAAGACTCCTGCCAGCTCAGCTGCCTTCACAATGCTGACTTTGCTCTGTGCTCACACGAACTTTAGGGATTCCCAGGCTGACTTGCACAGTGACCTGATATGACCTGGACCATTAAACCACTGGTCTTTCTCTAATTTACCACTGATCTGCAATACAGCAGTGCCCGGTAATTCCTGCCTAAAACCAGCACCCAGTGATGCAAGAATGAAGAGACAGTCCCCTATCTTTCTTTCAGTAAAAATTCCTCACAGAAGCCTAGGCAATGAGAACAGATTTTCTGTGCTTTAGTGACAAAACTAGTATATTTTACCTAAATATTGCTGATGTATTTTGCTGTCAAGCAAATAGCTAACCTCATACATTTTTAAGACTTCTTCAGTGGGAGAGAAGAAATCCTTTTGCTGCATTTTTCACTAGAAGAACACTTGGCCAGAAAATGCTGGTGAATGCATTTTATTGATTCACAGTTATTTGCATGCTTGGGGCAGAGTGCAATTGCTTGGCATCAGCAGTATTGATCCAGCAAGGGAGTGGCTGCTATTTCCTTAAACTGTTTGGATACCCGGTTTACTGAGCAGGGAATTCCCTGCAGCCAAGTCTTGCTAATTTTAGCCTTTCCATTTGCCAGTGGATTTTTGAGTGAAATGCAGAGCCAGGCAGCTCACAGCAACACATCAGCTTCACTAATTTCTATCCCAGTGCTCTGTCTCTGAACAGTGAGAGAGAGATTTGCAAAGACCTCAAGCTAAAGAGCTCTGAATCACACACCACTGCAATCATCTTTGTCCTATTAATCATTACAGACACATTCAGCTCTTATCAGTCAACAAATATTAATAATTGATGAATAATCCAAGATGACTACGTCAACATTAACATCCATGGATGTGCATACACACAAAGATGCCCTGACACATTAGCCATCTGTTTCCCCTGAAGACCTCAGCAGCAGAGGAGGGGGCCAGGCAGACATTGCACAGTCCTAGCTTCTACAGACGGAGGCTGGGGAGTTTATTTACCTTCCTTCCACGTGAAAGAAGAGAATTTGTAAAATTTATTAGGCACAGCCTTGCCAAAAGTCCACTATTCTAAGCCTCCTGGGAAAGATTCATCAGCTTCTCCTTTTCACATGATCTTTATAGCAAAAGTGTATTACAAATAAACCCCAGTAAAATCCACAGTAGCTTAACAGTGGTTCACGTTTGGAACCTGTCATTCAAACCCTTTCATCCAGAGATGCTTTAAAATCTTCCTGGAAAAGAGAGACTTGTACATCCCACCCAGACCTCCTCTCGCTGCCGAAAGCTCAGAGAGTATGACATGAAGATGCCCTTTTTCTCAGCAGTTGGCTACGCTTACCTACGGAGCGCAGACACCCTCCCTGCATTTCTCACGGCTGTTACGGACACAGACACAAGGCAAGGAATGGGCGAGGTAGAAGCAGCAAAGCTTTCCAGGAACCACAAGGACACAGCAGTCATTCAAACAATGCCAAAAAACCAACCAACCAACCAGTCAACCAACCCGAAGCCAGACAAGGAGGTCCTTCCCACCCCAGCTGATCATAGGTAACAGGAAAGAAAGCACTCACCTCCCTGTTTACTTCTGTCAAGATAGATTGAAACCCTTCGGGCCAGACCTGTGAGAAGACAGGGATTAAGGGGTTGATGCTAAGGGTAGGTTGGTCAGCCAGAGCAAAAATAAATCTTAAAAAAGGATTAGAAAAAGCAACTCAAATTAAAGGAAAGAACATAAAAGAGAAGCAGAAGCACCAAAAGCAGCACATGCCTCCATCCAGAGAGCAGGCACTAGTTCAATCACAGCATTCCCTGGGAAGCCATCAACGGTGGCGCTTGTCATGTGTGAAGTGAGTATTCTGGCTGGCTGACAACAGCACAGATTTGACATTTCTTCTTGAACAAGGAGACTATCCTTTGCATGATCTGGTCCCTGTTCTGAAGTAAAATGCATCAGGAAGTGACAGACAGAAATCCAAATAACTCATGGCATCTGTACAAATCAAATGAAGCACAGAACACCAGGCTTCTGCCATGGAAGGTCTGGGCTCCCCGCAGCGAGTGTTGCCGTACTGGGGCTCCTCTGCCCCACACTTTGGTGACAGACAGCTAACCAGCATGCAGAGACTGCAAACAATTTATGGGTGCTCCATCATGGGTGCTGTTTAAACAACTCTTAAATGGGAAGCTAGCCTCAGACACAGACTAGTTTCTAGCCACTGTAAACCCCCAGGCAATAAAAGAGCACGGCAGCAAATGGGGAAGTGAGAGGCACCTTGGGGCAACCCTGGAAAATCTTGCACAGGGAGCTCCAGGTGTTCAGGAAGAGACCTGGCTGAGCCCTTCAGCCCTTGCCCTTTAGAAGCAATATACTGGTTCTCTTTGCTGGACTGGAGGGGGGAAAACAATGCAGGCATCTGCAGAGAGCACACAAGGAGCTGGGGAGGGAACAGCTGAGCAGACGGCATTTGGTAATTGTGGAGCAGCTGGTTACACTTCCGTATTTTTCCAAATTCCAGAACTGTACTGCTTTCAAGGGCAAAACCATTCTGACCAGGGGATCGTAGCTTGTTTCCCTTTGTCACAAAGAAACAATACAAAACATGTCAGATTTGTTCAGAAGCACGAGCATGGCCACTTTTCGTAAGAGACAGCCTGAGGGTGGCGTGACCCAGCCGGCAGCTCTAAACCGAGCTCTCGCGCAGGCACCAGGCGATGGGTCTCTGTGCTGCTCTGCAAGCTCACGCTACTCACACAACCCGCAGCCTTCAAAGATCCTTTTCTACAGAAATTGCCAGAATTCCCAAAGTCTCCTGCTGTGAAATCACAGCTTCAGAGCACGTCAGGTTTATGTTCTTCCTATGCTGCTCAATAAAAAATGCTTAGTTTTTCCTACACCTTTTGAAACATTAAGCTATTAGCAACAGGTGTTTTGGCTTTTTCTCAGCCTCCTCCATCTCTCATGCTGGGGATTCCCAGTCACTGCCTTACACTAGAGCACCTGGTACCAATGCTGCTTTAAATACCCTGATTTTGATTGAAAGAGACTTTCTTGGTGCATCATGAGCGCAGATGTAAACAAGACCAAAATGAAAAATCCCATACAGGAAAAAGAGGGTGCCCACATAGTAGTTTGCCAGTGTCTAAATGAAGACTCACCTACCCTGAGTCTCAAGTCAACTATTAAGTGCAATGGACTGGGGCCAAGTTTAATACACTAACTTGGCTGTATCAGCTCATTTCTCTTACCTCAGGCTGCACACCACAAACAAGTCCTTTACAGAGTGCAAAAGTTTAAGTTCTGTGCCTCACTCTGGTCTGCTCCCCCCTCTCAGGCAGCCCCTGAGCATGTTATTGTTGACCTCCCATTACTTGGACAACGTGGGGATGCTTTCCAACCTTCCAAAGGATGTATTTAGGTATTGCATATTCCTCTCTCCTTTTATAAGTGGGAAAACTGCCTAGAAAGTCAGTATTCTGGTTGCTGTCAAGGCGACTGTTAAATTCAGAGATGAGTATGACATGGGGGAAAAAGGTGGGAGAGGAGAGAAGGAAATCAATAGTAGGAGCAAACAAACTCCAGTAAAACTCCTGAGCTCTGCAGCTTCAAAGATGCATCTTCAGTTTTATGAGCCAGTGCTGGACCACAACTATACTGTTGGCAGCAAAAGATAACTGTTGAAGAGAGTCTCATTTCCAAGGCGACTTGATCCGCATAGCTCTTTTGAAGCGACTATATTTATTTCTCTCTCCACAAAGAAATCTGTCCTTCTCTTCCTCCAAACTGAATTCTATTGTTCCAACGGTGCAACAGGACCCAGACTTCCTAAGACCATAAGGGAAAGAAAAGGGCAAACCCCCACAGTCTTAAAGAGACCAGACTTAAAAGTTTCAACACTCCTGTTTTGGCAAAATCTGCTCTTGCCTCAGCTCTTAACCTATTCTGCAATGCCAAACATTGATGCTTACAATCCTTTCTGCTGTATTAAAGGCCTGTAGAGAGTAAGGTACAATCAGCAAATGTTATGCCTTGCTAAGGTGCTCGTGGAAAGTAAGGCAGGAAAATGGAATTAGCCTGAAGGAGTTCAGTCACCAGTTGTCAGCATCATCCCTGAACATGACTGATGCAGCAAGAAGCCGAGGATCCGAGCAGCCTGGGGGAATTCCCAGTTGTTTGGGTGAGTCTGTTACCAGCACCAAGGAAGCAAGATCCTGAATCCAGGGATGGTAAACATTAACCAACATCTTTCAGGAAAGCTGGTGTTGACAAGAAATACAGACCAACCAAATGACACTACAAAGGGCAACTTGAGATGACTACTGGACACTTTCCTCTCCATCTAAGGAGATCCAGCCTTTCGCCACTTGGTGGGGTACCACTGTTTTCCTCCTGCTTTTAACGACATCTCTGAAAGAGCAGGGTTTGACCAAGGCAGTTTTCACAGTAGGCTGCAAACTTCCAGCAGGTTATAATCAGTTTTGTGCACATACCGCAGTGAGGCACAGAGCCTAAAGTTACTTCAAATACAGTTCTTCTTTCCTGTAACACCAGGGACAAACCATGAGGTGTTAAGGAAAACACAACAGATACGAGCTCAACAAGGCAGCACTAGTAAAATCCAATGAATAGCTAAAAGAGCCATGTAATAGCTAAAAGAGCTGTGTCAGGCTCCTGTGATGAACTGAATAAGCTCGGAAATGAGAACTGTCAGATTTTAAGGTCAGGATGAATTATGATGGTCATCTCATCTGACCGCCTGCATAGCACAAGCCAGGGAGCCTCACCCAGCAATTCCTGCATCAATCCCACAAGTGCTGATTGAACTACCGCACATTTCGGGAAACTTGTACCGTTGATGAAAAATAGTTAAGTGACAGAGAATCACCATTAGAGCACTAGCACATTAACAGGTCTTGGAAGGACGAAACGTCCACCTCCTTTAATGTCCTAAAACAGACTTCAGGGTTACTCAAACTGGTCTTCTGGCTTCATCCTGTGTATGGCTGGATGCCAGTGCTCCTTTTTACATCTTTTCCTATCCAACTTTTCTAACATTTAAAGCAGGTCAATGTCTAACTGTGCTGTCCTTCTGCACTGTCAGATTTAGATTGCATATTCTCTTGCCACCTCCTGACCCACAACAAACAGCGAAGAGTAAGTGCCAAAATTTGAGCTCAGGCTAAAGGAAGTCACAGGTGCAACATGCAAAGCTGTGCAAAGGCTGAGCAGCCCATCAGAAGGAAAGAGGCAATACGTGAGCTACTATCCCACCCAAAGGGGAAGAACAACCTCCTGCCACAACAAGCATGGAGCAGGGCAGTGCCCAGTTCCACCGTTGTTCTACAGTTCTCTCCTTAAGAACACAGTTAAGAGGAACGCTTGGGCAAGCCAGGTGCTGTGAAGCTTGTGAATGGTAAGGACTTTATACCCCTCTGCTCCCCAGCAAGAGGCTGCTCTGGTTGTTCTTTGGTGTGTGTGTGAGGTTGCTGGTTTGGGCTTTTGGTTATGTTGGTTTGTTTTGCGAGAGCTGGAAAAGTAATTCCTCACCAAGGCCTGGCAGAAGGTCATTCCAGAAGGCAGAGACTGTTGAACAAGGATGTTACCAATGGCTGAAGTTGAGAAACCCATTTTACGCTCCCCATCCCTAGAAAAAAACCCTACCATCACAAATTAATTTTACCCACTCCTCCAACAAAACTTAGTGGGAACACACCTCGTGTAGTTGGCAGCATGTCTGACAGCCCCTGCCAGGCAGTGACCATCTCTGGGTTCTTTTCCAGGTCTGCAAAGTTCTTCCATACTCTGATGGCACCATCATCTTGAGGAACACAGCAAAAGAGAACACAATGCAATGTCACTGCTGATGCAACTCTCATAATTACTTGTGTACAACAAAGGAAGAAGAGAAGCAGCAGCATAGTCATACAAACTCCAAAACTGAGAATGTCACTTGAACTTAATCCTTTTTATTAGAGTTGCTTTTCCTCTCTAATCTTACAGCCATGAAACCTAAAGCATTGTTCTACTGGGAACTGTTCTGGAAGAGCTTTTCTCCTTCCCTTGAATAACACCTGACCATTAGATGTCACTCCATTCCTTGGACCCATTAATTTTCTCTAGGATTTGTCTCTGTCCTCCTTGCTATTGGTGCTGAGAGCCACAAAAGCATGCTACTAAATACAAAATACAACCCCACAGAAGCAGCTGAATCAAAGCCCAGCCCATCAGCAGCAAATCTTTCAAGAACATCATGTATTTTTTCAATTTGTTCCCCATCTGTGAAACTTTTGTGCTAAGAATCAATAAATTGAAAGGAAAATGTCTTAGAGGACCTCTCAGCTCCTCTTCCACCTCTCCTAATTATACCCTACCTGTACCTTTCAGCATGAAGTTTGAAAAGCTATTGAAAACACTTAGACTGACAGGTTAAGAATGGTTCCTTGGAAGAGAAGTAGATCTTACTCACAGCTTTACAGACCAATGAATGGGAAAGAGCTCTTCATGCCACCTTACGTGATGCAACAGGGCATTCTAGTGAACTGTTTCCCCTGGGTGAGATATGTGGACTAGAGAGAAACTCAGAACTGTTTGGGAAGTTTTGTGCTTAAAATAAGCCCTGCCTGCTCTAGACTTAAACCAGCACAAGTAACAGAATTTGATTTCTTATACTTTGGTTGCAGCATGATTTCCTTTTCAGCTCTGGACAGCAGCTTTTTAACCAAATAAAATCACGTTGCCTGAGGTATTGTATAGGAGGAGGTTACCGCGAACTTGCAACGATGAAGACTCGGAATGATGTAACAAATAAAGCTGTGATCAGAAGTGGTTTCAGCAAGTACTTGTTAGTCATTTGAACATTTTTGCAGCACCTACTTAAGCAGTTAAGAGATTTCAGTACTGCCATAAACAACTTTCAGGTTTGGTCCTGGAAATGCCTCCTCAGCTAACACCAGGCAGGCAAGCCACAGGAGAAGGGAAGGGTCAGCCTAGGCCAAATTCATAAAGGGGAGAGCAAGAGGTCCAGAACAGCTCACGTGGACTTGAATTCTGCAAAGGCCTGCCAGTCCTGCCCTTATACGTGGGAAAATGTGTTATTTACCTGTGGCAGTCAGCAGCAAGGAGCAGTCCTGTCCATTCAGGTACTCCATTGCTGTGATCCTGGTGTATCGAGGGTTCCCATTGTGGAAATAGTCCAGCTTTTCCCCTTTCTCCCAGTCCCAAAAACTGGGGGAGGAAAAAATATCAAGTCAGTTCTTAGTTCTCTGTGCAAGTGTAAAGAGATCTGCTCATTACACCGAAACTAAAAATTATATACATTCGATACCAATTCAATTTGTTCTTCTCCTTTGGTATTCAGCATCATTTTATTAATAATGTATGTCAACCTTCTGTGAAAGAAATAGGATAAAAGCTCAATTGTAAGTAACTATTATAAATCTGTCAGGACTCACTTGCAGCCCTCTAACCCAGCACCTCCTGTAGAAAAGGACTCAGCGCAATGCTTACAACTATGGCACTGAACTCTGGGAGGACTCTGCCCCATCCCCCTATCCTGAAAGAGGGAAGGATGGCCACAGAGGGGAGTAGGGAAAAGAAAAGGAACAACATACAGCAGTGCTACCCCATGATAATCCATACATGCTCTTTGATGTGCTGCCCTGAACCCGTCCGCACGTGCTGCGCGGCGGCAGGGCAGCGGCGCTTCAGAGACCCGGGGAAACTCTTACCAGATGCTGTCTTTGTCGGCTACGGCAATGCAGGGCGTGAACGGGTGGAACTTCACCACGGAGGGGACGCCCGGGTTCCTGTTGAGGAAGATCTGATCATCCAGCCGGGAAATACCTGCGGGGGGACAGGAGGCAGCCACAGCTCAGCGCCTGGGAACATCCCGCCCGAGGGACGGGGCTCGGACCCCCCCCAGCTTCCCGGTGCCATGTGTCACCACTCTCCTCCTCCTTCTTCCCAGTTCTCACCAACAGATCCCCCCCAACGCTTTCCTCCTTCAAGAACCTTCCCAGATCCCAGTTATCTGACAGCCCCGACTCCTCCATGCTGATTGTCACGCATCTTAAGGTAGAAACTAAAAAGCGCGATGACAGATCAGGGGGTCCTTGACTTTGGCAACTGAAGAGAACATAGCAAGCAAGCACAACCAAGCCCAGAGAAATACCGGTTTGTGTTGACAGAAAAATCAACATTATTTTTTCAAAATAAAGAAAGGAAAACTTTTTCTTTTTTTCAACTTAAAATACAGCATTTCATTTTAGCTTGTGGATTATTTATTTAACTTTCCATTTCAGTTCTTTTAAATTTTAGGTTAATTTGGAAATGAAAAATGTATTTTCCATGGAGACATTAAAATGATGGTTAAAGACCTTTCCCATCTTTTCTTTAGAACAGTTTGCTGTTCACCAACAGTTTTGGTACCCCGACACTGCAATTTTTTGGCACAGTATGAATTCATCACACAAAACCATAAGCCCAGGAGACGTTTACTGATTTCTAGTTTGTTTTAGAATGCATCCATTTAATCTGATTTTCATTAAAAGATTGTAAGTCTATTTTAATTCTTTTTAATATTTCACATTTTCATTTTTTTTTAAATAAACACTGGCATTTTAGTCACACGGGTCAAGCAACCAAATAGGAACACTGTCTAGAAAAAGATTTAACTTCTTCAGACAAGCATGAAAAATCCCCTCCTTTGTATTCAGAAAGATCTCCCAAGCCATCTCCTGGGCTCCAGTTTCATTTCTGTATTACTCTGGTTTATGATATTCTGCAGTTTCACGACATCAAGCTACCCATTGTACTGACCCGAGCCCAGCAAACCTCTAGACAATGAGGTACACGCAGGAGGCTGAGCCTTGGGCAGGTCTTCATTCAGCAAGTTATTTCCAACTCCGCGTGCCTCAGCGAGCATCCCAGGAGAGGAACACCACCCACCCGTACGGCTCTGCCCCGGGAATGCTGCCAGGAGGATGCCACAAGAAGAACTCCCATAAATGCCACTCCCCAGCGTCTGCCGTTCAAGGCTGGAATAATTTAAGTATGCAAATTCCTGAGGAAACTTCATCGGGCTCCACTATATTCGAATAAATTCCTACGCTAAAAGAATTCTAGCCCAACTGCTGCCTTGCAGAGGCATAAAGAGTCATAAAAAAAAGCAGTATCAGCTTTCTGGAGAGTACACACTAATGAAACATGAACCTGAGGCACGTTAGAGGGAAACGTCTAAGCAGCACACATAAAGCCATACATACAAGTATTAAAAATATAATGGGATATAACGGGTAAGCAATCATTTACAGACTTCAGCGGAGTGGGGAACATGAAAGACATCACTGAGATGTCTTCTGAGCATGCGGAGGACACATCCAGCAGCTCGGCAGGGCTGGTTTGCCACGACCGGCTGTCCAAACGGCGTCTGACACACGTCAGACACTGTCTGAGCCTTCTTAGCCAGACTGCAGCTCTGAAGTTCATCCTGCAATATTCTGCCTTCTATCCCTTTAAAAACATAACCTACAGTACCCATCCAAAATTTACAGGACAGGGAGGAAAAGCCCAAATGGTAAATCAATAGCATCTGGTAAGGGCCTCTGAATTATCGATTTCATGCTGACCGCTCCGGCTCTCGCGGAGGTGCCGGCTGTGATCGGGTACGTGGCTGAAGAGCTCAGCTGCTGCCCGTCAGCCAAGAGGGCCCGGGAGCCAACACTTGCATTGAAAATCGGATGCTCTGTCAATTCTTGTAAGTGAGGAAACCTGCTTTGGTGGCAAGCTCTCTCCTCCTTCAAAGAAGTCATTACTCTTAGGCTCCTCCACTCCCGTGCTGGACTCGGCAGGTTAGCCAGCCCAACGCTACACTCCGGCTGAGCGCTCCACTTGTGACCGACCACATCATTTTCTAACATGGCGCTGTAGTTAAGTTTTCAAAGGGGAAGGCAGACATTTGACATTGTAAGTGGTCACTCCCCTGATCTGGCAAACAAAACCAGCAGCTGAGAACAGAAGGGTGCGTGACGATTAGCAGAACACCCTACAGCAGCATCACCTCACCTGCACACGGGAGAGAGCACAGGCACCTTTCCAATTTGAGGGTCAGCATGGGGTCATTATTAATTGGGGTTTTACAGTTCAGCACCCTGACTAAGCGCAGTGCTCGGAGCTCGAGGAAGCTGCCTGCAGCATGGGCAAGAGGGAAATCACTCACCCTTCTGGATGATCTTCTGGGCTTGCTTCCTGACACGAGCATTGCGCAGAAACCGCCACTCTCTCTCCTTGCGAATCTGGCTCTCCAAGTCATGCTCTTCTGGGATCTTTCAGTATATCAACATATTCACAACACAAAACAACAGTAACCATCAAAACTCCATGAATTACCTTTGTAACACACGCTCATACACATGCACATTAGACTAAGCCATAAATTCTTTAGGGTCTCCAGCTTCAGGCAGTAAACAGAGGAGCTCACGGGACCTTATGTTATTAAATACTTGAGCATCTTTCTGATCTAAATCTTCCCCATCATCTGTAATCTCTTCCCCTTTCCTTTTATTGTCCTATATTTTGTTTTGTCTTTAAGTCGTAGGCATTTCTCCAAAGTGAATGACATGGGGTTTCTGAAGAGCCACGCACATTCAAATCACCCGTCGCTGTGACACACGTGACGGGTTGGTAAGGAACCTCTTTCTACTGTACACACAGTCACTGTAACTCCTCTCCTCCCTAAACAATGCAAGTCTGATTTTGGTGCAATACAGATTACTCTGCTTAACACTTTTCAGCTGAAAAGCATCACATAGCAATCTTGAGATTAAAGAGAGAACACGGCTTTGATACAGAAAGCTCAGAACACATTAAAATCTTGCTTTCATTGCTAATAGATTACTGCAGGCCAAAAAAGGCATTACTTTATTTTCAGATCCCTGAGATGCTCAAGTTACAAACATCACATTTACTAGTAACAGCAACCATTTCAGTTTCCCATACCAGAACTGGTTGCAAGAAAATGATGCCCCCATGTCATCTTGGTTTGATTACATACAGACTTCCACCTGAAATTGGAGAGAGGCCCTGGAGCACTCTACAGCCGCTCTGATCTATTTTCTAATATTTATTCACACCCCATAGCCTCCAGGCTTCAGCATACTCCATGGCTTTCCTGCAAAATCTGTCCTCTAGCCAGAAGGCCAGTTTGGGATTCTGCACCAGCGCTACTGGCAGCTCCTGCTAGGGACTTGAGAAGTCAAGGTGCTGCTCCTAATGATGGGCAGACACCACAGGTATTCCTACCCTTAGTCAAAGTACAGGATCAGAAGGAATAAACTCGTATGATCTCATCCCCCAAACCACTGCAGGAGTTAGGTATGATGTGTCTTTTATTTAATGCTTTAAGAATTACCCAAGACTAGTAACATTACTGCTCTAGAAACATTCTTGGGTCAGTTAAAGGGCTGAGCTACAGGACTCTAGTCTAGCTTCTTTTGATGATGGCTATTCCAAAAGGAGTAACTCTTGGAGAAGGCAGACATAAAAGACAAAGTCCTTTCACTTCTTCTCCATTCCCCACAAACACACACTTTTTCCCCCTGAATAAGAAAGTACTTAAATTGTCTGTCACTATTATACAAACTATCTTCAAAATGCACGATCCTTTGGAAAACAACTATTATTGAGCTGAATTTCTGCTTCTTTAAAATAAATAAGAAACCCACTCTCCACCTTTCCTCCTGCAAAAAAAAAAAAAGCACACTACTATTTCAATTTTTCAAGAACACAACATCTATTAGAAAGGCAATGACAAATGACCAATAATGTAAAGCAATAAACAAACCTAAGACAAAATACATCAAAGGAGATTTGAGAGCAGCGAGATTACACCTACACCTTAATGAAAATCCAGCTTCTCTGGGAATAAATTAAAGACCTAAAAGGCCAGGGGAAGAGAAGGGAATGAGCAGAATGGTAAATTCTCCTACAGGCACCCAGCAGCTTTCACAGTTTAAGACTAAGAAATACACAGTTATGCAGTTGAGCAAAGCTCTCCTTATTCTAGCAGATACAGAATATCAGGTTAAAGGAGTTGCTGGGCTTTTCAGGTCTGAAGAAAAATAACTCTTCCAAGTAGGCTGAGCAGGCAGTTGTTTTTATCATCTGATATCTGTAATAAAGATTCCTCCTATAACGAGATCTCTCAGGGTATGGTCCCTAGACACTATACCATCAATAGACTGCATATGGCAAGACAAGCCTCAGACACAGCTGGAAGTACACTTAGTGCGAGTGACTGTAGGATGAAATACTCTGACAAGAAGGAGACTGTGCAGGCTCCCTGTCAACAGGAACAGTGATGCAAAAAGGCACGTAACGCAGGCCAGGATAGTCACACCGAGCTCATCGAGACCAGCAAACACCCCCCATGCGACCCAGTGACTGCCCATCCTCCCAAGCTCACTAGGACAGCTTCTGCCTCAGCCACTGCTGAACACCAGCAAACGGGGTTTGGTGGCAGTAGTGGTCTTTCCATTCAAAAACCCCCTTGCCTGGTGTGTCCTGCCTACCACCTGCAAGCGGAGGAGCAGATGGCAAAAGGGACTGAGCAAGAAACTGAGACAGAAGTATCGCCAGCGCCTATAGCTTGTCACCGATGGGATGACAAATCTCTGGGGAAGTTCTGGCAGGCTGGCTTATGAGAAATCTCCAATACTGCTTGTTAAGTTTAAACTGCACATATTGATTGCTTTGGAGACAATAAACTGCCAATGTCCAACCATCAAAGGTTCAACCACTAACAACCCAAAGCCCCCACGCACCTGAGATCCTTTCAGAAACGTAAGTGAAGACCTGTATGACGAACGCAGCAAGAGCACAAGATTTTATTCCAAAACAAGTACAACTCCTCTTCCCCAACAACGCCAAAACACTTATTTTTGAAAATGCACATACAGATCCTTTGAAAATTGTGTGCAATAACGTGCTGCTTGTGCGATACCACCGACCCATCAGTGGACGTCCCCAAGAGGCTGCAGTGTGCAGGCCAAGCTCTCCGATGGGAGTGTGTGTTCATGGACAGCAGGCTACTGCAGTGCGCTTTCCCGAGGTACAGAAGGATGCAGGTGCTTGTCTCTATCCACTTGTGCTGGTTCCTGCACCTCCTCCTTTCCAGGCTGCCGGCAGGCAGGGCCCAGCTCCATCCCATGAGTATTCACACACATAGTGCATGTCCTTGGTCCTCACTGAAACCTTGTCTTCTTTTTGCACAATCTCTGGAGCACATTTACTCTCCTTTCAACGGTAGCATTCTGCTGCATCCTTGAGCCCTGCATTCATTTGCATGTCCTTAAAAAAGGAATTAAAATGGTTATTATAATTTCCTTAGGCAGAGAGTAAAGGCATCTTTATAGCCCACTACTTAAGGCTTTCCTCTCTACTGTCCAGGCAGAACTGACAATGACAAAATCCTTCTATATCTTGTTAGATGTAATCTCTGATTGCTTTGACCATTCTGGAGACAATGCTTGTGCTGGGTGAATAACTCATCTGTGCTCTGCCAGGTCAGCAAACATGATTCTTCATAGAAACCAAACATACCCTGCCTCTGCTACCGCACACAGCTCCTGCAGACACCCTGAACTGCAGGGCAGGGCAGTAGTCAAAGCTGACTCAGTAGACGTATCAGGAAAACATTAGGGAGAGATTATTTCACTACCTCAGATCCCCAGTACATTAGTGAGATCCAATGTATGAGTGAGGCATCAACTGATGAGGGTAGAGAAAGGCCCTGCCTGGATTTTCCTGCATGGAATCCTACTGAAACAGTTGCTTTTTGTTTCAGTTCCCGTGTTTGCCTCTGCACTGCTGGTGCGCTGCTTGACCGTGACAAACCTAAAAGCTGGACACGACCCCCAGCAAAAGCCTTTCCTCCCCCAGGACGGCAAAGAAGGGATGATGTCTTTACCTGGCCCGTTCCACTTTTGGTGCCTGGGCATCTTCCTGCAGCACCTGCAATTCACGTATGCTCTAGGGCAGCCTCTGCCTCCACGATCATCTGTTTGCCATCTTTGTCTTCCTCTTCGTCCTCTGACGAGGTGAACAAAGGGGAGTCCCAGATGCTCACCCAAATGATCACTATGTTTTGAAGGGGTTATATCCATGCACCACTTTACAATGCAATCCAGCTCCTTGCAGTAGAACACTAAGGGCATATGTTAAAGTCTTGGCTTTGGTACAGTTGACTCAAACAACCATATTCTCTGTGCCAAAGGCTCTGCAGACGGTGAATGTCATCACCTTGGAACTGGTAAGGGAGGTTCCTGCAAAGATGCTTCCGCCAGGATCCGTGTGTGTCCAATAGCTTCCCCCAGGTCCAGCTGGGATCACAGCTGAAAATGCCCAAAATATACTCGCTAAGCACTATATACTTACTCTAGGTGGCTCCACTTCTGGTCCAGACTCTGGGTCTCACCAGTCCCAATCTTATCATTAAGCTGATTGATGCTGGATGGAATTCAGTGAACAGGCAAGTTAAGAAGAGAAAGTAACGGGGCCTGAGCCTGCATAGAAAGAAACCTGGCACAATACTGCAGGAAGGTCACGGAGCTTTGAGAGAATCAAAACGGCAAGAATAATGCAGAAAAAAATCCCTGTGGGTCCTTCTAAAGTGTTATTGGAGAGTAAACATACAATATCCTTAATGAAATAAACTCTGCTGAACTCAACTTATCCTTACAAATCATTGCAAACAACTGTAACCTAGCGGAGACGCTCTATACCAGTTCAGTTAAGCATGACGCAGGCAATTAGCATACTTTTGCTAAACAGGCAAGGTTTGACTGACTGAGCCCTTAGACCATCACTGTAGCGAGCAGAAAGAGTCAGAGCATGCAGGCAGAATGCAGTCCTCTCCTCCCATGCCCATCCGCCTGCAGGACAGAGCTGTATGGATGATCTTGTCAGGAGGGAGTAATAATCTATGAAAATATGAACCCCCCAGAACACATCACGAGGGAGCTTCTGGTGACAAACAAGCACAGGAGTACGTTGAAATGTGTGTGTAGCAGAGAGCCATGACCTCTAGCCCAGCTGCTGCTGGCTGGAAAAACAGAAATTATTATTCAAAAGAACTATTTAGGCTCATCATTCATGTCTTTGTCTCCCTCCCAGCCAGCTTCCATTTAAGCATCAGAAAGTCGTTTTAGTAAAAAAGCGCCTGGTTTTGGCTGTTGCTCAGCTATCCTCCAAGCAAAGCTCCCAGAGGTACGTGGGAGTCACAAACAGTGCTACACGATGAGGATCACGACATGCCACCGATTCCTAACATCTCTGAGCTTCCACTCACACTGAAACCAATTACAATTCTGAAACCTCCCTACCAAGCAGTGTCATTCAAAAGCCAACTAAGTTTTTCTTCTTTAACACTTTGTCTCTCCCTCTTGACATGGAAGTCAGGGTTTGGAAGGGAGCAGGGAAGATTCAGCAGACTGCTCCAGTAGTAAATACAGTTTTTCCATGGTTAACGTTACTGCAGCAATTGCACGGAAGGCTCGCTTCTCTACCAGGACTTTGAACAACGGCCAAGACACAGTGCTGAAGTTAAGGCGGGGATTTATCAGGAAGGATTTCTTATGTAATTCTCACCTTCCAGGATCCTTACCAGCTCCTGCCTGCATGTTCTGCCAGTTCTGGAAATAACAGATGCTGGCTCCCGCTCTCCTTGACTCAGGGCTTCCTGACAGCTGGCAACAAGGCTTTCCTGTGCCTCTCAGTCCAAGACCGCCTGTGGTTAGCAGAACAGCCTTTTGCCCCAGAGTTTTCAGGAAGAGGAAAGACTTTTGTAGAGATCAGAGCTAGAGTATGTATCTGTTTTTCCTGGCACACTGAGAATTCACAATGCAGTATTTTCTTTCTCCATTTATTTGATTAGATAATCAATAAATCAACTTCGGTATGATGGCTTGAAACTGAGCCAGTGATTTACACTGGAAATTAATCCCTCAATCTTTCCAGTGAAAGCATTCTCAGAGCAAGGTCTATGAAGCAAAACTAAATTCATAAATTAAATATGACTAAGATGCACTCACAGTCATTTTATGTTTATTCATTACAGGAATAGTTGTCTTGTCTTTCCCTGTTTATGATGGTGGGCAGCATCTCCAAATGAAGCGTCGGAATTAAACACCAATATCATCTTTTTCCATCAGTACTCGGTAGACTTTACTCTTTGCCTTTTTCATGAGGCTGAAGTTCCCAAAAGACAGCAGCCACCAGCCAGGGCTGTTTGTTCCCTGCTCCTGCAGGAACAGCGATGCTAGGAAAGGAGCACTCTAGAAACTCAGCCAACACCCGAGTTACTGGATGGCCAGTCCTGCCTGGTTACACAAGCAGCAATCAAGAAACGCCAAAGAAAGTTCCCATAGAGAGACTTCTTTCTGTCCCTTGCACACACACCACCCACTCTCATTATGAAGTTACATATAATTCCCTGTTAGGACAGGATAACACACAAGTCTTCCTGCAGAAACCCTCCACTGGCCTTTTACAGCTGCTTTACAGAAGTAATGGGGAAATCAATTCTCTTCCTTGTTTTATTAGAAAACAGAGATTTTGTTTTGCTCAAACTTTACCTAAAACATTGCTGTTGAGGACAGTCTGTGCTCAGAAAGTTCAACCCCAGTCAACGAGTATTTCCAAACAAAAACACTTAGGAAGCTATTAAAAGACCACCGCTGTCATGCATGCTACTACTCCTGCTACGCTAGTAAAAGCTGAAGACACAGACCACTGCACGTGTGGTGTGCACAGGGGTGTAGTCTGCAGCACCTTCATTCTCATGGTGAGACACTGAACACTGTGGGACTCACTGGGGTGCAGGGAAGCCCTCAATTTCCATGAGTCCCCCTCCCTGGCTTCTGTAAGTTAGTACGGGAATGCTCCACAGTTTTTATTTCCTCCCCTAAAGTAATTTTCTCTATTTTATGCACATGAAGTAGTAAACCAATACACAGACACACACACACACACACATACTCCCCATCTACTCACTGAACCTGCCTTTGATTGGCTGTCTACCATGATTTATTTTATTAATAAAGACACCCCTCTTCACTGGGAAAAGCTTTCCTTAAAAAGTAGACAAATGTTTTTAATAAGAACTAAGAGATGGAACAACATCCACCTCCTCCTCCTCCTCTTGTACTCTCTCCCGGACTTGAATCAAGACACCAAAACTCATCTTGATAAGAGAAAACCCTGGTTTAAAGCTTGACCAAGCAACCAAGTCCCACAGGCCAGATGTATGTCCTAATGAATTATTCTGCTAATGATATCAGAAGAAAGTTAATTTCACTAGCAGCTGAGGAAGTGTCAGGCAATCACTTTACCATCTAGTCTTTCCTCCTGGTGATTCTCTAAAGAAATCAAAGCTACACAGAAACTGGCTGCCATATAACTACTTTTCTGATATCCTTAAACTTGGGGGCAATTACCTCACCTCATCATCAATCAATTTAACATGCCTAAAAAGTGTAAGGAGCAGTGACAGACGGCTCAGTGGCAATTCTTGGATGAGACAGCACATAAAATGTACAATTTCTTCATTATTAAGATTTAAATATCAGTGGTTGGATACAAACATCCATTGTGGAGTTGCTCAGGTAACAGCATTAATACAGACTGTGCATTATTATTCACAGAAATTGCAATACCTCCAAGAAATTAAGCTGAAAGTTCTGTCACACTTTGTGCTGCTTGACTCCCAAGGCACCTGAAGACTTGCCTTATCGTGTTTGCTTATAATAAGGTGAGATTTACTGCTTGTTTTGATTTCATACTTAAAATTGAAACCTGATCTTTGGCTAAAAGATTCTGGGAATTCAAGAGTTTCTCTTTCCAGTCACTGATGATCTTTGCCCATCTCTTAAGAGCTCTGTTTTGCTTTTTTCCTAGAACAAGGCTCAGGTGTCTCTCTCACTTCACATAGAGCCAACTTAGTTACCAGAACACATTCACTTCTAAAAAGATCTCAGTGGAGATTTGTTATTACCACCCTCATTCTTTGCCATAATAGAACTTTTTTTTTTTTTAACTTTAAAAAACAACAATGATACTTCCAAAGTTTACCCCAGGTAGTTATGTGGATGTCCAGTCACTATCACTTTCTCCTTTTTAAGTTAAAGGCATCTATACACAGTGCCTGTAAGCAGAGCACAGCTCTGAAGTCACACTGGAGTACGGAGTCAAGCCTAACTGCAAGTGGAGGGTATGTTCTGCTGCCACTGGGATTATGTGGTCTTCACTCAGGGCAGCAGCTTCCACCATTTCTCTGCTTGTTTTAGCATCACCACAGCCAGAAAATTCAGCTAGAATGTCAGTAAGAAACAGCATCTCTCCTCCTCCAGCCTCTCACAGCTCCTTCTGGAATAAAAGACCCTCCTTATTCCATTTTTTTAAAATTAAAAAAAAATAAATCAATATTTACTATAATGCAATTTTCAATTTACACACAAGCACAACATTTACAATGAAAGAACTCTGCAACACAACCTGCAACTGTGCAAAACAGGTAGATCCAGACCAACTATAGAACCTTCCCTCAGTTTTACATTCCTTCTTGAACATGCTCCATAGGGTGCAATGCTTTTGTTCTGGGCTCTTTCCCTAGTAATACACCGCTGTCCCATCTGTAACTCTTCTGCTCCCTGTGATGACCTCTTCCCTCTTACTTTACAAGCACAGTGGTCACACAGCTCCACAGAGCAGCATGATGCAAGTAAGTCCATTCGTTTCCCTCCCCAGACTAAAGGAAAAGGAAGGGAAAAAGAATAGGGAAAGCCACTAGCCTATACTCAGGACACAACCACTTTTCAAGAGCTGCAGTGCCGTGATTCAAAAAGCATGCACAGAGATAACAAATAATTACCTTCATGACTGGCTGAGCAAAATACTTCGCACTCCAGTCACAAAACCCCGTCTGCACTGTGGCCGAAATGAAACTTTTGTGTCCAACGGTATCATCGGCATCGTCAGTAGTCTGTCCAGAAAGAGAACAGGATGTTAACCCACGTCCCTCCCATTCATGTGGGCAAGATGCATACGCAGTAATACCCAGATTGCCTTCAACACATCACCGGGCAGAAAAAAGCTCAAACACATTGCCAAGGATATGAAATTTTTACATCTAGCTTTAAGATCACTGTCATTACATTAACTCTTTGGAAGTGCGCAAATTCCCTCATCTGCACAGCACAAGACATAATCAGGCTACCATATGAATCAGGGCTGAAGCATCAGTGTATCATCACAGTGAAGTCCCAGGATGAGTTTTCTCACGGTCTCCCAAGCATCTGGCATGAGAAACAGCGGAGCAGTGAAGATGATTCAGGATAAAACACAACCAGACACAGCTTCACATCAAGGGCATATATGGATTGAATATCTGTTACAAAGCACAAGACATCCAAAAAGAAAACGGAAAGACCACTCCATCCACTGAGGTGTCAGCCATGTTTTCAGAAATATGATCCAGGCTAGTGCTGCCATGCCCATGAGAAGTGAAGGTGTTCCTGCTAAGGCTTCACTGTTTTTTTCTTGTAAGCACACAGAAGAATTGACTCTCCACCTCCGGAACCTTCTGTGAGATCACTCATTAAAGAAAGGCAGAAATGCCAATTTACGTGAAGAGCAGTTATTTCTCAGTAGTCAGACCACACAAAAGCTGAGCTGCAATGCACACAGCCCACTGCTTCAGATGGGAGAATCCTTCCCTTTTATAGTACCAGGAGGGAGAAAAGGAGGGTCAGTGTCCTCCCTCCATCACACTTTGTGGATTAGTACAGGCAGCAGAGCACACCTGCTGCCTTTTCAGTTTCCTCCCATCCACAGAGCCAGCACCAGAAAAAATCTTGGAAATGCCCTTAAGTAGAGGGAGAGGTAGGCACAAAACTATTGCCAGATAGCTGACTCCTGAAGAACTCTGACCATTTGTAAGTAATAGTCTCTATCTTCAAGTGATGGGCACAAGCACATCCAAGTGTGCTTGGACTCAACCATATTCATCCAACGTGACTCATCTAAAGTCATCTGAAGGTGACATTCAGAATCCTTTGTGCATACTAAGATCTGACTGATTGCTCTACTTGGCACCACATCAGTCCTTCATGCTTCTGTAAATGGAAAAATGCCCAGTACCTGATTATCTTTAGAATGCTAAAATGTATGCAAAACTCTTGCTGGACTGCTTGCATGCCAAAAAGAGGAGTCACTGCTGTTCTTCCCAGAGGTCCTCACAGCTCTCAACTGATCAGTGCTCTTCCAGCAGGGTGACCTGTAATGAGCTTTGGTCCTCCTTCTAATAGTCTGGGCTCACATCTTCCCTTGCGCATAGTGAAGAGGGGCTGCCAAGCGTGGAGTGGGTACAGGCTGCTGGAAAGAAGGTGAATATTCTGGTGCAGAAGCACCTCACAGTCTCTCGAGAGGAATGCCAGTTTGTCTGTTAAAGGAAGACGAATCTCCCCTTTTTCCTCCTTGGTCCCTGCTTTGCTTGAGGTTGGAGAAAAAACATCTGAGGGCACGGATCTGACTCTGTGTTATCACTCAGGCAGACAAATGTTTATGAAAGAATAAATAATTAACTCTGACTAAACACTTCTTAGTAGCATAAGTGAATAATGCCCTATCAAAAGCTACAAAACAAAATTTATCCTGAAGAAAAAAAATTAAAGTTAATCCATTTTTATTTTGCTGGTTAGAGGAAGCCAGTCTGGAGTTAACAGCAGCTAGAAGCAAACAAGAGATATGTAGAAATAAAACACAAAGAACAGAATGTGTAGCAAAACCCAGTGGAGCAAGGAAGTAGTCAGATCTGAAAGGAAAGTCTCTTTACCTGTTCTGGCCCTTTGTCAAACATTTTTCTTGTCCTGGGGAATTGGTGGGAGTGGGGAGTATACTGAACCCCCATGTTGCCGACATTGGCAGGTCTTACAGATGTGATGTCCCGACTGACTGGCTGTTTTGTCACATCATTTGTCAGGCTGGAGCTGCTTGTACTAGTGGTTGGAGGTGACCCTCTAAAGATCAAAAAAGAGGGAGAGGATTTAGGTATCATTGGACACAAGACTCTTGCATGTGAATTACGTTACTTTTATATTTCTTTCTTATACGATATATACTTCACTGCTGTGCTTCCTCTACAAAAACAAAAGAACACAATCCCCCCCATCCCCTCCAAAAGCCATACAAACCCGAAAACAAGAGTTAACCTTGAGTGTGCCAACTCCAGATTGAGGATAATGAAATTACCATTTTTGGGAACCTGCAGGTCCAACAGTCACACGCCCACAGGTTACGATGCCCGACCTAAGGCACACTGATTAACCATTGTATTTCAATGGGGAGACTGGAAGTCCGGTCAGTCCACAGAAAAGCATTTTAATTTACGTGTAAACTGAGATTTATCTTATTGCACAGTTACTATCAGAAAAAAAAAAAAAAAAAAAAAAAAAATCGCTGTGCAGTTCTGGGCCCTCCATTCCAACTCTGAATCTTACTGGTGCATGTTGATTATGGGACCGCTAGATCTAAAGTGTGGTATTTTCTCTTGGAAAGCAGGTTTTGGGAAATAATCAAATTTTCAAATCCTAGTTTTGCCCATTCCATTATCTCAATTTCCCTGCAGCTTAGGCATTTCTTGTTGATCATCAGATAACCTTGGCTTTTATCATCGGATGCAGAAAATACAGATCAGACTTCAATGGGAAAGTTGGATACCACACAGGTCAGGCCAGAGTGCATCGGTAAAATCAGCAACAGTTAGCTCTTCCTTTCAATTAATCTTTAGATAATTAGTGTGACTTGTTACCCTGTCCAAAAAAGAAAAACAGGAAGAAACTCTGCACCTTTTCGCAGAGCTTTTGTTTCTGAACACCTTACCAGCGCTAAAACAGGAAGCTACCGAGACCTCAGCATGTTCACTCTCTCTGGTGTGGTTAACTGGGATGGCTGCTCGAGCAGTGACTGTCAGGGAGCATCTAAACCCACTACAGCAGAAGTGCTAGAAAGCAATGCTGGCACTTACCCCACTTGATGGATGTGCATGCCCTTGTTGGTGGGGCTGGCAGGGGCAGACTGAGTCAGTGAGGAGGTGTCGAGGATGCGCTGGGGGCGAGCGTTTACTGTTGCCTAGAGAAAAAACAGAGCAGAGTCCTGAACAGCCAAGACTGCAAAACACCAACCGCCGTTGTTTATTATCTAATACAACTGCACATCTGGGGTTAACTGAAGTTAAGCTCTCTATCAGTGCGTGTGTGGGTGTTTAAAAATGTATATGGAAAAAAAGCCCCTGTGCAGTTCCCAACACATAAGATGGTTTTACTACTTTTTTAGTCAGAAAACACTTACCAGAAAGTACCCTTCTGTTACTTACAGGGAAACGGCTTTGACTAACACATAAGCTTTTTCCCTAAATCAGTTGTGGCCTCCGACCTGCACCGGCACTTTGAACCAAGCTGCCACTGGGCCGGCAGACAGCCCGGGGGTTCCCCTTCAGCAACCAGGCTTTCCCTCCCACCTCACGGCAGAGGACTGCAATTCATACTACAACCATAATTCAAGGACACATTCTGACCCTGATATCATGTTTGAGTCAGAACTCTCCTCGTAAATCTGGCAGCTGCCTGAAACCGTCTCCTGTTGCTGCTCCATCTCCCCTAACGAGCTTTTCCGGAGTTCGTTAGAGGATGCCCTTTCCAGCAGCACCACATCCACTCTTACGGGGAAGGCAGGGGATTTACGTCGTTGGGTTGCTCTAAGCTCTGCAAAACACAGCCAGTCCTCCTGCAAAATGGTATCCAGGCACTCAGCCACCAGCTAGAAAAGACCTGTTTCTGAAAGAGCCTGAGAAATTATTTTTCTTCTTCCTGGGGAAGGCCTCAAACATAAGCCAGGTGAAAGGCAGCGAGAAGTGCACAGACCACTACATCACCATCTCGCACTGCTCCCTCCAGGCTGAGCACGCTGCTCGCACTGTGCAAATGAGCCTCCCCTTTAGAAAGGGAGAAGTCTTCCATTGCTTACGCACTCCTTTCCTCCTCTTCCACATCACCCCACCTTTTGTGAAATGTTTGAAATTTCTCACCTATTGAAATAATTTTTAAAGGAAGCCCCAGACTGGCATAAAAGACCTGGAGGGACAAATATGGCTATCCAACAGGCAAGATGACTTTCATCATCTCTTAGAACACTAAGAAAATCCACCTTGCACAGTGCAAGAGCTGAGCAGGGTTCTCTGGTGATGACCCTAGGGTGGTGTCCAGCTCAAGCCAAGCAAGGTTAAGACCAGCAGCTACTGAAACACAGAGAGCTCAAAAAGCAAGAGCTGTGTGCATGGTCTTCTGGAGCCCAGACAGCTAACGAGCCTTTTATAAGTTAATGCCTTCACAAGGCAGAACTAACAACCAACATCGTGAACAAGAGTATCTGTCTTTGCACTCAAAGCCCAGACGTGTCTCCTGCAGAGAAAAGTCTGAGGCACTCGAGCTTGGGAGACACCCTGCCCCCTCCTTGCAGGAGCCAAAAGGCCTTCTGAGATGACCTCCGCTTCTCCCTTCCTCCAACGACCCGGCGATGTTGTCACCTCCCTCACTTTGACAGGGTTCAAGCCCTCCTGACCATCATTTGTTTGGCTCCGAAGGGCAGGAGCGGTGATGACCGTCACCGTACAGCACACCTACACCGCAGCAAGCACCAGATTGCTACGGCTGGGAAGGCAAGTGCCACGACCTCTGGTTAGCCTGGCTGCCCCCTGAGCTAGCCTCCTCATATGAGACACGCTCATTTTATGTGTTATTTTCCTCCTTTTCATATGGGGGTGGGAGAGGTCCTAAAGGCCACTCATCTCTCCATCACTCAGGAATGCAGTGGGGTCTCCGGTGAGCAGATGTTACTATATGGGGACAGACAATCACACCATGAGAATGGAAAGAAAGTAGAAACAATTTAGCAAATAGTGACATATTATTATTCATAACCAATTTTAATTAGTCACAGAAGGCTCAGTTTTAAGATTCTCATAGTCAGGTCTCTGTCACCTGAAACGGGTCAGGTCACTTAGTTTCGCAGCAGAGGGACAAGGTCAACTAACAATAATTTGTTGAAGGGGTACACAGAGAGATGAGCATGGCAGACAGCCTTCCTTTTCCTGGGAAAAATAAAAAAGCAATTTCTTTTCTGAAGGCAGCAAGCAGCGTGAGGGCCGCGGTTCAATGATATGACAGTGTATTTTGCTGGAGGCAGCAGCTCCCCATTTCCTGGGGATTTGCTCCTCTGCTAGCCAAATCGTCTCTTTTCAAGAGGGGAGACAGTAATTCATAATTTTACAAATTGACCCCAGGTTTAAAAAAAAAAAAAAGCACACACTGTCAGAATTACTTGCTTATGCACAGAAAAGCCTGTACCAAGGAGTGATGTCGTGGAGGAATAACTCCTGGGATAATTCAGCCTCAAGCCTTCCATTAAAAACAGCTGGATGAAGCAACCTGGGAGGAAGCAAACTTTCCTTAATTAACTGTGATTCAAAAAGTCTTAAAAGGCCAACACTGATTACTGGGTCCTTTTTGTTTGTTTTGGTCCACACAAAAAGCACGTTTTGGATTTTTTAAAAGATCAGGCTGGGAATGGGGGTTGTACCATTCCAATCTGCATCATAAATATAAATCACAACACAGCCACAATCTGTGTGAGAACTAGCAATGTCTAATCAGCCCATGAAATAAAACGGTGTATTTCACATCCAGGAAGCATGCACGTCTGTGCAACCTACTCACCGGCTGCTCAGAAAGACATCACCCTATTTAAAGATCACTGGAGTTCTCCTGTAGATAAAGATCTATATTCATGCCTTCATTAAAAAAACTGAATAGGACTGGTCTCATTTGAAAACAAAAATTCTGCTTTAGATTCGCGCAGTGCCTTGCAAATAACTATTTTGCAAATACAGACTCATAATCTGAACTTTTGCAGTCACAAAACTTGCAGTATTGGCCCCATGTTTTACTGCAGGGGATCAAAAGGTGTAGCAACATTTACTTCTTCTAATCTCTCCAGCCACAGTGCTCTCAATGTGCTGTCTGATCATCCATCAGGGCAACTGAGTTACATGACTAACACCTGCCTGGTACAAAATACGTTTAAAAATCATAAAGACTTAAAGCACAGAGCTTGGCAACATTTTGAGGCTAAATATTTAGTTCACCAAAATGAAGATGCAGTTCACCAATACCATCCAGAAGTATAAGCCAATGGCTAATTTGTTCAGGTCCTTCAGCTAAGAAGCCCAACAGTAACAGGCAATGTCGTACAGATCGCAGTGTTTTGTTCAGTTGTGTTAATGTAAGAAAATTTCAGCTGTCCAGGTTCCAAAATGAAGCCTCTCATTTCCTGAATTTTGTATTGTTTAGAACAAAAGGATTAAATCCCTAGAATATTCAAGTGCTTTACTTCACCTGAAGCAGTATTTTTGTTTAAGCAAGAAAATCAACTTTTGTTTTTATTCAATGATAAAATTCAAACAAAATGGAGAATGCATTGTTTGCAAATACTCGGGAGGACCAAAGGGCCCATGGGCAGCATCCAGGCTGGTCCCTTTTACGTCCAACAGAGGTCCATTAGCAGCAAGGAAAGATCTCAGCATACAGTTAGCAAAAATTTAATTGTTACTAATTTGCATTACACATCAGACAACTCCTATAATCTGCCTGAGTTCACACCAGCAGAGACATGGAGTTCAGGCTGTAAATCCTGGCAGCACTGCTCACAGTGGGAGCTTTGTCCATAATGAAATGAATAAAGGCCAGATCATGATCCAGGATTTGAAGCCTTAACTTCTATATTGGTGGGCTGGTAATAGGGTTGTTTTTTTAGTTTGGGGTTTGTTTGGGTTTTTTTAAATAAAAAAAGCCTTTGTAGAAGCCACCTAAGCCAGGTGGTACTGACAAAAGCAAAGCCCACAGTATCACAAAGTGCACAGCAGTTAGCCCACTATATACGCAGCTGCCCAAACTGCTGGACAAACTGCGCATTTAAATACTTTCCTTATGGATCTTATGGCTAAGGCAAAGAATAACAAATAAATTTTGTTCACTGAAGCATCCCCAGATAAAAATTTTTGTAAATGGGAATGCTTCTCTTACTGTTTTGCAAAACCATTTGAAAAGCCACTGCCTTAGAAAGCCAGGGACAGAGCAGCTGTCTGAGAAGCAGAGCATGAGATGCATGATGCCCACCTACTTGAGCTTTTGGACTCCATTCAGTACCAAGACATTTAGGTCCAATCTTGTCAGAATCAACACAGAATTTACCAAACCAGTTGTAACATTCACTATGGATATCACAACATAACGATCAAAATTCCTGCTGGCTAAGCAGACCCATAGCAGTGCTAGTGAAGACATCTGCAGGGCACAGCAGCATCTGTATTAATATTGACACATCTCTTTCCACTAGCAAGAGAGTAAGTCCTGAAAAAATATTTAAGACTGGAAAAGCAGATCTGTTTCCTCTTTATATCCCTTTTAATTCCACAGTAGGAGTAAGATTTCATTTTGCAAAGAGCCTTCCAAAATACAAAACTGAAATACTTTCATGTATCTAGAGCAGAGAGAGGGAAATCTTTAACTTTTTCCCTTTCTTATTCACCTTAGTTTGGCATCTCCAGCCTGACAGTAATTTGTTGTACACCCGTACCATCAGGGAAGGGCTGACCTCGTTGCCCCCACTGGCAAAATAATTCTCTATCCCAAAACCCAGATTTTACCACTCACTGACATGTATACTTAAAACAAATAAGAGTTCAAATAAGTAACTAGTTTCTCAATAGAAAATCAGATTTAAAAGCAAGAAATCTCTAAGGCATTAAAATGGTAGTGCACAATGCTGGCATCTCTTACTGCAACTTTAGCTTAGAAGCCTAAGTCTGAAGATTTAGGATTATTCACTGGAAATCATCAGTAAGAGACGTCATCTTGCATTGCAATGGCTCATGGTCTGGATGCTAGAGCAAATAGAAAGCACGTGGGAAGGACTGCGTTCAGACAGCTTTCTGACACCACCGACCGGGGCAGAAGGAGAAAGGCAGTTGGTGAGAAGATGTTCTGGGGTGGCCTGGTGCTTCGTTTCGGGTGGAAGGTGAGGGTGCTTCTACAGCTCCCCGAGCTGGCAATTCTGAATCAGCAGTGACGGCAGCCTCCAGGGACATCTTGTCACCCTTGGAGGATGAAATGTGATGAGGATGGTGGTTTAGGCGGATTAGGCCTGGGTTGAAGAGGTGAGTAGTGGCAGGGGTGTCTGCATGCTGACTCACATGTACTAGTTCACCTGGATTGGAGAGCCGTTGCGGCTTCAGTCTGCAGGCCAGTCCCACTTGCATAATCTAAATCAGTTTGCAAACGGATAATTTAATGAAGTATATTTAAGGTTTCTCCCAGGGGCTGATCTAGATAAGTAGACTTCTAAACAAGACCTACTGTCTAAGGTCTGTACCTAATTCATATCCTAAAACAATCCCAGGCCCTCCCCCATTCATTTATTTCACCTGATCGAGAGCTCATATGAGTGTTTATCATCTGGAAACATTAAAAGCTCCTTCTGCAACAGATCCAGACTGAACTAGGCAGAGCCCTCCAACGGACCTATTCAGTTCAGTCTGCCTATGCTCTGTCTCAGCATGAAAAAAATTAACATACAAAAACCTCACAGACACACACGAACACAGAAAGGCATACCTTGTAGGCAATACTGTTGAGAACTTTCATAGCCAAGTCGGAGACATCAGGATAGGGGTCGGCAGCTAGGTGAAGGAGTACTCTCCAAATTTGGGTATAAACACTGTTGAAACTCACACCTAAAATAATAAAAAAAACCAAAATAAAAAACAAAGCCCCACAGCACATGACAATCCATCAACTCAAACTCTTTGATCTTATGTGAGAAAATTCATTAGAACTCCAAACATCACAATGACATCTAAGAAAACATCAAGAGAAGAGCTCAAAAACACCCTACAGGGGCATTTTGTCTCCATTTTGTCTGTCTTTCTGAACTCTGCAAGGGCTTGTAAAATGAAAGTGGGAGAAAGCAAAATAAATTAGACTACCTAAATAAGCTTCGGCCAAACTGCTAGTTTTCTAGGCTCCTGAAACAATCTGAAAAGGCCAAATGGATAATGTCTTTGGATTTCCTGAGCTAAAACACTAAACAGTATAAAACCACAGTTACTAGCTTATAGTTTTATGGTTATTTTTATTGATGCTTTAAGCATTAATACTCAGCTTGAATGTTCAGGGATTTATATATTCTACAAGTTTACTAAACATCTAAATGTTAAAAAGGAAGCCTTAGGACCTGTACCTTTGCGAAGCAGTAAGTCTAACTCAGTCTTTCCTATTGACATTTGTATCAATTCCTCAATTGCCAATTTGCTATTTAATGAGAGTATCTGCTGTTTGGTATTTCAGCAGAAGGGACTGACAGATTCGAAGTACAAATCAAATTAATAAGCATTTGCAACAACTGACAAAATTCTGTGAACATTTTATTTTCCTGCTTTTAGGTGAATCTTTAATTTGTTATTCTTTCTTCTAACCCTCACAATGTCTAATAATTGTAACACTGTTGTTTGGGAGTTGAGCCATTTGGACAATATTAAAGTGGTTGCACTAACAAAAAAAAGGAACTAAAATAAGGATTTCAGATGAGTCACAATCAATGGTAAATGACAGATCAAGCTGTTGCTGCATTTCCTTTCATGTTTCTGGAGGCATCTAAATATAAAGTGTTAAGTTAGGAAGAAAGGGTTCCTTGGTCAACAAGTAGCTTCTCACCTTGCATAGCTGCTAAACCTGATACCCAAATCAACAGAAAATAGACCTGGACAGTCCAGCTTTGAACTTTGGCTGAAGAAGGCAAGTAGCGCACGATAATGAGCTTCAGGAGTATGCACGCTGCACTTCATATGCTTGTCTGTGTTAGCCAAGGGAATCTTTCTTCTGCCAGAAAAATTCCCCAGCATGTGAGAAAGCGTTCTGCAAAAGGCAAAGGCAATAACCTAACTCCATCCTCTCATTTGATCTGAGAAGAAAAGGGTCTCTTACTCAGCTGACATCCAAAGGATTTTCCAAGTGGCATCTGTGTACAGAGTTTCAGGCAGAAATCTCACAAATATTTATGATAGTACCACTTGGACAGTGCTGTCCATTTGCTGGGGCTACCTATACAACAGACTCCTATCACTAGTCTTAACCTTTCCAAGACAGGCAAGATACAGGGCCTGACAAAGATACAACAATGTTAAATTCACCCAGGAAAAATGAAGAAGTTGATAATCAGAGAAAGCAATAACGACTGTCAAGATACAATAGAGTCAAAGGGCACTGATATGTGATATTTGGTTTATGCCAGCTGAGGATAGAGCACAAAGTGGACAAAATCAAGGAACGCCTGAGTACAGCATGCATGAGTTGAGCAGAACGGAATGGTGCAGATCCAAGTTCAGGTTTTGGCTTTGGTCATAATAGGCAAAAGTCATCGTCCTTTTCAGAAGCTCTTTATCTATGTTTAAATAAAGAAAATGTCAATGCACAATAAAGTAAGTCTTCTCTCAGAAGAAGAGGGTTAGGCCTCCCAACCATAAAGGGTGGTGATACAATGCTTGTCTGTCTTCTCCAGGCTTCTGACCATTTAGGTTTTATTTTTGCCATTGCCGCGTTCATCCTGGAAGCTTCTATCACCAGGGAAAGAAAAAGGGGAGGGGGAAGGATAAAGAACAAGACGAGGAGAGAGACAGAGTGCTACGAGCTGTGGGAGTAAAAAAAGCCCCAGCCACTGAAGCAGCTAGCCAGGTAATGTAGTCTGAGGTCTGCTCAGAGCTCTACCCTCTACATTTGGTCCTGTGCAGAAGTTACATAAGGACCGCTGGGAAATCCGAATGGCTTGATTTCTTTTAAAACCCTTGAAAGACAGTAAAAGGAATGGGAGAGAAAGGGAGAGCGAGAGGGTACCCATCAGATTTTCCAGCGTCTCTGATAACCACCTCATTCATGACGCAGTCATGAAGGAAAAAAACCCACCATTTTTTATACATCTAAGCATCACAAAAAAACAAATTTAAAACAGAACTGCACCAGTGCAATTCCTCATTCATTCGGCAGCCTTTGAAAAGAACAGAGGGAATTTCTACAAAGGCATCTCAGGCTCAGAGCTGGTGCTCGAAGGACTGGTCCTTTCTTCTGCCATCCTCCCCCCGCCCATGTTAGTGTTGTTCATTGCACTGATTCAATCGAGTGACACATCTGACATAGCTCCTTGTAAAAACCTGAGCACCGAGTCAGTGGGATAATGGAAGGCAGCAGAGGTGGCAGGAGGAACAGCAGCTTGATTTCATGTAATGGACTAAAATGCAAAAAATATCCATGAGATGCAAACAAAGAGCCGAGCAAGGGGGACGGGGTGTTAATCTAAGCAGACAGCTCTGTAATTAGTCAGACTGATTCAAAGCCAGTTAAATGGACCTTGCAGTATAGATTTACGTTTACAAAATGATTCCTCTCTGCTAAGAATGTAAAAAATAAATTGCCTGCCTTTACTGACGACTTTGATTTTCTTTGCATATGCATAACTCCTAGTTCAATTTAACAGCAAGCATCATGCAATGGCCCTGAGGAAGGGACCTGGCTGAGGTCCTGCTGCCAGGTCACTGAGTACACGAAGGGTAGAACCACGTTGGATGCAAAAATGAATGCTAATGTTTTTATTCATTCTTTTTGATTTGCCGGGCTTTGACAGGGTTCCTTTCTAATCCCTTGTAAAAATCACTGCAGTGATTTTAAGCCTTGATCTCCAGAAGAAGGTGCAGTCCACTCCCCACCCAACACAGCAGCAAAAACTGACCAATGGCTGAACCGGCACTGCTGCACGCCTTGGACCAGAGACAGCTCTCCTCTCCCGCGCCTGCACATCCCGCCTGCAGGGAAAGGCAACTTTCGGACTGGCACGCAATGAAACATACAGCTGAAATATTTCAGACTGAACGGTGCCCGAGGACTTGGGTATCTGCTTCCCATTAACGCTAATCCCACCTGCTTTGTAAATGCGTATCCCGCAAGTCTCTCCTCTTCCCGTGAGTGACACAAGGTCCTGTGAGAGCTACTCGGATGAAGAGAACATCTGAAATCCTGATTGCTCTCTGAACTCTACTTCGACAAATGCAGACGGCAGCCTGTTCCCTACAGGAACAGCAAATCAGCGTTTCTTGCACAGACCTGACAGTCTGCAAGGTGGTCTCTTTGCATGGGGCCATGCAAAGGGGTTCCCGCACACTCCAACCCCTGATGGCGATTCAAATGGCAAGGCACGAGCTTTTGCATGTTTCAACAGAAACCAGAAGCAGCTCATGAGGAAAAAGTATGTTCCCTCAGAGAAGGGCATGTTCCCCTGGACCAGGGCTGTCATAGCCAACATGAAAGCAGCCCACTACAACCAGCCTCTACATCGAGCTTCCATTTCCCAAAACCGCTCAGATCCCTGTATTTTGCTACTATGCAAGTTAGTATTTATAAATACTGCTTGTTGACCAGTTACTTCTTATTACGTCTGTGCATTTAAATATATTGCGTAGTGATAGAGAAGGAGGCTCTACCTGTCCCAACACTCCCTCTCTCATTTGCTGGGGCTCACTGTCCACCCACATCTCTTGCTCTCCTCATCCTCACTGCAGTAACCTCCCGCTGTAAGTGCTACATTGAGGCAGCTCTTCAGGACAGATCCTGTGACATGGCAAATCGTTTTCTGCCCCCAGCCTCTCCTGCTGGAAAAGAGAACTATTCCCCAGCATCTCATCACTCCAAGATTTATTTTCCTCCTTCTTTGATCATTCCTTAATATAATCTTTCCAGCTATGCTCTCTGTAGGACAAAGACTTTAATCGCACAGTTTGGATACGAATAATCAGCCTCAAGGTATGCAAAACCCCCGTCTTAATTCCCTCCATTTTCCCATCTTAAAACTAAACTAAACTAAAAGTTTCCAGGACACCAAGATTAATGACTATTTGTATGGAAAAAGCAGCAAGGCTCAGCTTCCCGTCCAAACTGATGTCTTTGTTGACTAACCAAAAACTGCCTCTTGCCAGCTTGAAAATGTGAGCCAGACATAAATGTCTCTTCTGGTAACAGGACTGTCTGGCCAAGGAACAGTCTGCCAGAAAACAGCACACCTAGACTATAAGTACATGTTGCATTGGGGGGGGGGGGGGCACTACATGGGGCCATTTGGCCTATAGTTAGCTAAGCTGTTTCTAAAATGGCACAAGAAGGAATGGAGAGGTTTTCCTCAAGTTTATGGGAAGAAGTACATCGTATGATGCTGCAATGTCAGTGAATTGGATAGACTGATCCAGAATAACCCCTCTAGCACCATGTTCCTAAAATCGCAAGAGAGGAAGAAAGCCCTGGCTGGACACAATCAACCTAGGGGAATGCACAGTACAGAGCATGGAATTAAACTATGGTTGAAAATTTCTACTTTTATTATTACAGACTAGATTTCTGCTTTGGTCTGAGTCTACCCTGTGCCCAGAGCATCCTTTTTACTGCTTTGCCTGTCTCAAATGTTTGGCAGAGTCGTTACTGCAGAGCCAAATCACCATTACTTCTTCCAAAAGATAGAGAGTAGAGCAAAACTTCAGTCAGGACAAGTCTGTCACCCAGGTGGACTCCCCACCGAGTTACCCCAGGTTGCTAGCTGTATTTTATTGCGCACTAAAACTTTACAGAAAGGGGTTAATCTGAGCCCAGGCCAGCTGTGCAGCAACCACAGCACTACGGAGGGTGGCTGGAGCTGATGGCATTTTGAAAACTCTTTCCTTGGGGAGCAGGCGAGAGCAGGCTGGAAGATGGTAATTCTTCAGTAGAAACGAAAAAAGCCTGGCTGTTCAGCAGGCAAATGCTGAAGGTAATGGGATTCTGTGTGAGTTATGAATTTTAAACACTTCTATAAGCTCTGTCATTTCCAGCTGGATATGAGCTCTTCCGATTGAATAGGAATGAGGGAAGCTTTGGAGAACTGCTCTTTTTGTTTTCCTAGGTCTCCCTCACTCATCTCCAGCTCATCTCTAGATTCTTTTCCAACTGTACTGTAAAGCTCTCGTGAGACACGCACAAGCCATCAAGCAGATGCCAGCGTGCATCAGTGGAAATGAGAAAACTCAAGTTCTAGCTTAAGAGGGAGAGAAATTTCCTAACAATCCTGTCATACTTAAGATCTAATTTCAATACCTACAATCAAAAGCAAATTAATTGATCAAGTTTCTAATGAACACATGATTTTAAACTGCTACAGGGGCTCAGGAATTAAAATCCCAGAATCTTTCAACTCAGGAGAACCACATCACCATTACTTCTTCCAGAAAATACAGAAGAGAGCAAAATGTTTCTTCATTCAAGGCAAGTCTATCACCCAGGTGGACTCCTCTCTGAGTTACACCACTCTTTTTTTCACTGATTTTTGAAGGCTAGAAAAATACGGGCACATTTACTGATTACAAAGAAAATACAGAGACTTCCCGCAGCATTTCTCTGCTGCTTGCTGCCATCCCTGCTCCCTGGAAGGAGGCCATTCCAAAAGCTAGATCCTTCTGCATGTTGTCCATGTTATCATCCCCAATTGGTTTAGATTATATAAAAAACTACAGCTAGTTTAAAGCAAGGCTATTGTTGCAGTCAGACATGACTGCGAAAGTTACTTGAAAAGCAACCAAGTTGAACTAGCTTAATACAAACATTCCAGTTTTGTTCTATAAAAGAAATCCAAATAATCCATTACATGGAAATCAGCCATGCACTGCATAAATACAAGTAAAATTTCCCTTCCTTCTGTGTTATAGAACTTGACTCTGCAGAGTTCCGTACATTACCCAGAGAGTCAGATGCCAGGAGAGAAAGGGACTGTTGAGTGGTGGTAAAAAGTTCAGTGCTGTTAGTGATGTTAGAGCTGCTTATCCGGGAGGAAATAATGGAGATGGAATTGGAGGCAGCAGGATCAGCCATGAAAATTTTTGCACAAAAGCATATTTCTATGAAACAGTCAAGTCTTTTTGCTTTTAATACACAGCCTGGGATTCCTTCTTTTTTAAGTCCTATTTTAACAACGTACATATAAACCTGCATAGGAAATCAGCTAGGTAAGGCTTCCTTGGGTAAGTAACACAATAAAGTGGCTGTGCTGTACAGAAACACAACCCATGTAAAAAATAACCAGGGGAAGCAGTTAGTGCCAGTGCGCCCAGCTGCTAAGTCCATGGGATGGGGAGTCCTCGCTTTCATTCTCTAGCCCACGAAACTGCAGTGGATGTGAAATTCCTGTATACACCACTTTTTTGTGCTTAAATTTCTAACAGGACTGTTGTCCATCATGGTGAAGCTTACAGCTGGAGCCAACAGCTCTCACTTCCAGTCTCTCCATCAGAGCAGGAGTGACTCTGCTCTGCATGTAGCCTAACCGAACACAAGAGCAGCATTTCTACTGTTATGAGAAATTTTCTGGAGTAAGATCTAGCAGAAGCTAAGATCCAAACTTTCCACAAAAGCTAGAGCAAGCATGTGAAGAAAGGCGACACCAAAGGAAGGGAGGAGAGTCTTAACTCACCTATTAGTGAATTCAGAGAAGAGTAAGAGCTGACTCGTCTCATCTTGTCAATAGTCTCAAACGACAGGATATACTCTTCATTCTCAGGGCTGCCCAAGGTGCTGCTGGCACTGCTGCTGGTGCTGAGATTCCCAGGAGAAAATGCAACAGAGCTTCCAGCTGCCAAAAGAAAAGAGGGCAGATGCCGAAACAAGAACTGGTGAGAGAACAATTTTTACCCAGGTGTAACAGCCCTTTTCTAAATCCTGGAACACTCAACGAAGGTGTACGCAAATCCACAACATCCCCTTTTAAATACTGAATGTTTAAATACAGAATAAGCATCACGGGGTCAGAAAAGATTCAGTTAAAAATCCATATATGTTAGGAAGTTGGAAGGTACCTTTTTGGTCCCCACCAAATACTCAGAAAAATCAATACTAATGACCAGAAAATTGAAACTAATTATTAGGGGGCTTCTCATCTAAGCCCTTGGAGCTGGCAGCTGGATCATCTGGGCTAAAGTTTTGGTTTCAGCTCATGTTGTCTTGCACATGGTACTTCCTAGCTTGCAAGAGGGGGGTAAAGAGGAGGTAAAGAAAAATCAAAGAATTTTGAAATCTCTTACATTCTTCATTCAGGCTGAGGTTCTGCAAGGACTTGTTCAGGTTCCTAGCTGTGGTAACTGCTCGGATGTTCCCATAAGAGCTGACAGACCGCAGCCTCGGTGTACATGGACCATCTCGCACTGGTGTCAAACTCCCACCCTCTGTGGATGCAAGATTTAGCAATTAGAGACGTAACCAAAGGGATCATAGCCTTTTGGTTATTTCCCAGCAAATATGTAACTAAAATACTACCAATATGAACAGAATTTAGTCATTGCCCCTTAGGCTAAACCAGAATGAGGTATGACAAAAGATCCTCTGTGCACATTATCAGCAAGGACCATGTGTGTCTACTGTTTAAGCTGTGATTTTGTCACATCCAATAAAAGCAGGTGAGTTGAGCCTTGCCGGTGCCTGCAGACTACCCAGAAAGGCATGATGACTCTTCTCTCCAGGTCAATGCTTGGCCACTGCCTAGACATTGTGCTAGCACATGCTGCTACAGCAGACACCATTTAGTAGGCAGCATTTACAGGCTTGTGTCTGCTTCTGCTCATTAAAAGTGCAGTAAATTTTCTCATTACAGAGATTTAGGAAAATTCTGATATCCTGACCAAATTTCAGGCCTGGTTTCAACTCACATTTCACCCAGGACCTGGATTCTTATAATTTCCCAAACTTTCTCATTTTCGTTCCTAAATACGCACACAGTACCATGGCTTCAGAAGACCTATTATTTCACTGCAGAAGTGGCTGCATTATGGTGGTGGGGCCAATGCTTCCAGTGCATCCTGCTTATAAATACTTCAGGATTATTTTGGATAAGGAAAAGCACTGTATAAACTGCATGTAATGTTTATTTCCTGCAGCAAAAAGGACAAACGGGGAAAAGCTTATTTTCTGATATGATTTATTTATTCAGACAATAGGGAGATTAAACTACTCATTGCAGAGACAGCACATGCTCTTGTCTCCAAGTTTCCACTGCAACAGTCCCATTATCCTTCAATATTTCCAATGTACTTAACATCTAAAGAAAATATGAGGTTAGCAACAATTTCACTAGGGCTTTTCATTCCTCACATAAAGCAATAGACACAACAAAAGGGATGGGACGGGAGGCACAGAGCATAAAGTTCTTCACTGCTTCTTGTCTGGTGCTTTGCAGAGCAAGAAGTATAGTTGGTTCGTTGTTGTCTGGTGAGGCTTCTCATTAGGTCAACATGACACTCAAGTTTCTGGTGTAATTTGAGGTGGCGGGGGGGAAAGAAGTCTGGTAAGCCTGTGTACTGCCTTGACAAATATACTTCAGTCTTGATCTGAAGAGAACCCCTTTGAATTTGGCAGGGTGTTCAGTCTCTACAACTTGCTGGTGAGCTATAGCTGTGTTTTAGATGGAGACTCAGCAGAGGATGCATTTCTCCAGTGCAATATATTATGGTGCTAAACAGACATTAGAGCTACCCACCATGCCGCTCAACTTTGTAGCAATGGTGCTGTTTGGTAAATCACCACCAGCAAGAATTTCATTGTGTTGGGCAAACTCCTTAAATAAAAGTTCCCAAGCACTTTCAGGCTACATGTTTCCTACCCACACAAACACAAAACACCTACCTGTGGCAGCTGGAGAAGGGAGAGGGTAGTTCTTCTCTTCTTCCATGAACTGCAAGGCGACGGTGCAGAAGTTGCTCTCATACTGAACCACCAGGTGACTTAAAGCCACCACCAGCTCCTATGGAAAGAGCGGAAGAAAGGTATTTCATGGTCACATAGGTCAGAAACAATAGACCAAAGGGAAACACAGAACAATGTGGTCATTATTGTTGACATTATTGGGTTGTCACCCAGGCTAATAATTTTCCCTTCGCTTCACAGGGCTGAACTGAAGAAAGCCAGAGCACTCCATTTCAAATCTAATTCTCCACAAGTCTATACATGAACAGGCTACTACTACTCTTTGATTCTGCCCAATATTGTCAAACTGATGCAGTGTCACAGAAAGTACTGAGCTGGTGACTAACCCCCAGCTGCCTCTGCTCCTGTGCGTGCAGCACTCTCACCCACAAGAAGCGTGTGTTTCCTGCAGAGCAGCAACGAGCTGTGCTGAGGATCGGTGCCCTCGGCCCTCTGTGGCACAGCCTGACCCTCTCTCCCTGTGCAGCACGTGTATGCATGGAGCGGAGCTCTCGTCCTACAGCTTGCCCTATCTTCACTCAGAGCTGAAGAAAACAGAACCTGACAAGAGGCCCCTGGGGACATGGCTCAGCTCTTCCACAAAGAGCCTTGGTGTTTGAATCCTATGCTGAACCGCAGTGTCTTGTACTGACCTGCAATGTCAGCAGCTGTCCTGGTTTCGGCTGGGATAGAGTTAATTGTCTTCCTCGTAGCTGGTATAGTGCTGTGTTTTGGATTCAGTATGAGAAGAATGTTGATAACACACTGATGTTTTCAGTTGTTGCTAAGTAGCGTTTAGACTAAGTCAAGGATTTCTCAGCTTCTCATGCCCAGCCAGCAAGAAGGCTGCAGGGGCGCAAGAAGTTGGAAGGGGACACAGCCAGGGCAGCTGACCCAAACTGGCCAAAGGGGTATTCCAGACCATGGGACATCATGCCCAGTATATAAACTGGGGGGAGTTGGCCTGGGGGGAGCGCTACCCGGGAACTAACTGGGCATTGGTCGGTGAGTGGTGAGCAATTGCATTGTACATCACTTGTTTTGTATATTCCAATCCTTTTATTACTATTGTCATTTTATTATTGTGATTATTATCATTATTAGTTTCTTCCTTTCTGTTCTATTAAACTGTTCTTATCCCAACCCACAGGTTTTACCTTTTTCCTTCTGATTCTCTCCCCCATACCACTGGATGGTGGGGGGAGCAAGTGAGTGGCTGCATGGTGCTTAGTTGCTGGCTGGGGTTAAACCATGACAGCAGCTAACATGAGAACGGTGCTGCCCATTTGCAAGGGACCATCAGTCTGTTCATTCTCATAGCTGCAACTTGAGAACCTCAATTACTGGGGTGGGGAGGGTAGAGCAGGTGAAGTTCAGACCCTCAATTAGGTACTGCTTGCTAGGCACTTGGAAACAGCAAACAGGAGAGCTGGGGAGCTGGCTTCGGTTGCTGTTCTCTGTTCAGGGGACTAATCTCCAAAAGAGAGATTTATGAATCTCAAAGAGCATATAGTGTGACATGCATTTCTCTCTTGAATTAAACTGATTAAATGCTAGAACGACACAACAAAAATTAATCCTCACAATGCTGGTGACAACCGTCGGGGTATTGATGTTCCAGTTAAGTAAACACAAGCGTTAGGACACCTAAGTACACCCATCAAGAACAATCCAGAATGTCAAAAACTATTTAATGTACTATTGATGCACAATGGTGCATCAGAAATTGCAATTCTCCAAAACCTGAAGAATTACTTTGTCTGTCATCCGCCCTTGTGGTTTCTAAAAGCAGCAAGATCTTTTTACTGAACAGAGCTCTCCTGTTCCCTCCACAGCACTCTTACTCCCTCTCCTCTTCCTCCCCTAGGACTACCCCATACTCAGTGTTTCTAGCAACACATTACTAATTCATGTAAAACCTGAGATCCTGTAATGTAAAATATTTGAATCAAAACACTAATCAACCGAAGAGCATTAGTAGAAGGGTAGCCCAGCAAGAATTCTCAGTGTTTTGTGCACCTGGAAAAGACTTCAGTGTAATTGCTCTCCTTCCTTATCCCTGTCTTTGCATTCTCTTTTAAATTAAAAAAAAAGGGGGATAAAAAATTCCCACAAAATCCTGAGATTGTTACTCCTATTTCAGATATTTGTTTAGTGGAATACATGAGCTTGATCAGAGGTCCAGTGTTAAAGAGCAGAAACATTTTGATCTGAACAACAATCTTGTCAACACGTGGACACAACGACATACTACACTTTACTTGTATTATTCCTGTCAGCAGGCTCCTTATATTGCAGAGTAAATGAAATGTTGTAATATGTGCACTGAAAAAGGGTAAGTGGATAAAACAGCATCCCAGAACGCTACTGCACATGACCACCCTGAGCGTGCAGTGTAAGGCTCAGTGCTGAGCCTTCAGCCACAGCAGCAGGTTCATGCTGCTGTTTTCACTGGTGTCGTCATTTGTGCCTATTGCTTCTTGGCAGGAACTGAAGTTAAAAGACTTCATGATGAAACAGATACTTCCAAATGAGTCAAATTCATTGAAAAGTCTATTAAATAATGCACTCTCTGATTAGGCATAGTACAGAGCTCGTCAGCATGAATCCAAACTTCTGTACCACCAGCCTTTCTGTACCTTTCTAACCATGGGGCTCCCATCGTTGATGAGCTGGGCCAACATCATAGCTACATTGTGATCAATGGTGGTGGAGTGATCGGTCCGTTCAGCTGAGTTGCCCACAAATGTTCCCAGTGCAAAGACTGCAGCACAGCGAACCTGTGAGACACAAACATTCATTATTATTTTCCTCTTGTTTCCAGCCTGAAGTTTGCCAGTGGGATTTTTTTTATCCCCCAAAATGGCATCTCTGGAAACCCGGACTACTGTGTCAGGTAAATAGTGAGGGTTAAAGGGAAGCCCATGGAGAGTAAACAGCAAAACAGATTCAGCAAAGCACTGAGTTTTAAGTATTCACAGGTGCAGGAGTATATTTAATTTCCCAGAATACTCAGTGACCTTCCCATGGGTGATGTTTCCAGTTGATGTTGCCTAGAATATTAATTAACAGGAATAAGGTACACAGGGAGTCACTGTTGGGATGTGAATCTCTTTAACAATAGAGTGCTGAACTACAGTCTTCAGATAAGGGCTTACAGAAAGGTAGAAGATGATGGAAAAAAGAAAAGGAGAAAAGACAGCAGCTCTAATCAGGGTAAACTTTGCCAGATTACACAAAGAACAGAGGGATCAGATGGCTTGGTAATCTTACAGCTAGCCTTGGCAGAGCCTGCAAACGGTGGGGATACAGTGCAATCAGCAACTGCAGGATGTGTTTCACAAAGTAGGAACACTCACTCCAGCTTCTCAAAAAGAAGCACGGGTGTGCTGTTAAGGGCAGTCAACCCATCCTTCACACAAATACTACTTATAAAATGGGGGAAAGATGGGGCCAAAGAAAAGAGGTGGAGGATGCAGGAAGAAAGGCTGAATGTAAAGGAGAACCCAATCTTTAATCACTGCACATTAGCAATGGTGTTTATCTCCAGGCTTACTTCTCCCACACACGATGTAATTTCACTGGGGTCTGACAGGCTCTGTCAATCATAGCCGAGTTCTGCACAAGAATTGCTTCTCTCTTGGACAGTTTGTCACAAAGGTAAAACACGTTCAATTAAAGATGTATTTTCACACATACCAGGAGAAGAACAGTTTTTGTACTTGGACAAAAAGACTAGAAGGTGTTTTGCAACACACAGTGAGTTTTGAGACCATGTTTTTAACAAGCTTCTGATATGCAAGTAAGTAAAAACATGGTGTTTCCTAACTCTGGTGCCCAGATTCCAGGGCTTTTGGGCTGTATGAACTCCCCCTGCATTTCTTTGGTTACTTCTCTTGCGGGCTTGTATGATTTGCACCACCTTGAAGAAACAGCAATAAGATCTTTCTTTGAACCAGACACAATCGTAAAGCTCTTGAAGGCCCTGCTTTTTTAAGTATTTCTGTAGCCCTCTGCCACAATTCTGACAATTCAACTGGCGTTTACTTAAAAAGTTGGATTTTTACCTCTGGGATTGGATCCGAGAGAAGACTGTAGAGTTTTTCATGAGCGCTATCTCTCACACCACACCACCTGGCTGAGTCAAAGTTCTGCCAAATACGTCCTAAACAAATGGCCACCCACTGACGCAGAAGAGGATGTGGATCATTTAACTGCTCCAGGCAAATAGCAATCAGGTTTCCTTGAAGGCAAGCTTCCTAAAACACAAATCAATGCAATTTATTTTGGATGACAGCTTCCCACCTCATGATCAAAAAAGAAGATTATTTCTGAAACAGACAGGAAATCAAAAGAAAATAATTATTCAGTGGTTATATACTGATTTTGTTACCAAATACTATTTGGAAGCAGCATGAAGGGAAGGTCAACTATGTGCTGCTATAGCTAGTTAAATAGTTGAACACTAGAAATGCTTCCTGTAGCACATAAAGCCTGTTTTTTCCTCATTGGAAATACTCCTTGCACCTGTCAGAGCCCCAAGGTTTATGGCTCATTCCACATACCCTTCCCAAGAACTTTATCACAGCCATCAAGTTTCCACTTGACAGAAACTAGGCACTATTTCTTTAATAGCACGTCAGTACACTGCCTGGAGGGGTAGTTGTTGAGTGACTTGTGTCCTTAACCTCCACTTCCAGGTGCCAGGTACATAATGTGTTTGTCACACCTCCAGGTCAATTTTTCTTTTAATCCACACCAAAATAATGTAAAGCAATCTTCTATTTCAGTTTTCCAGTTTGGGGTTGTGCTTTAATGCAAGCCAGGACTTTTATCAAAGTAAAGGCAAAATGCAGAGAAGAGGTAGGAGAGAATGAAAGGAAAAAGGATGTTGGGACTCACCTGTCCAGTGTTGTAGTTGTTAACAATTACAGCCAGGATAAAAGCCGTCATTGTCCTGTGTTCAGCCTTAAAACAATATACAACTAATTGTTATCTAGAAAACAGGTCAGAGAACAACTATATCCCTTGCTTTCTGAAACATGAGATTATTCTAAATCCAGTTTGTATCACATTGAAAGAACAAGAAGGGAAAGCAAGCTAGAATTTTCTTGTCATCCAGTCCTGTCACTAGTTACACCTGAGACACTTCATCAGACTGCCAATACGATCCTCCCAACCAGCCTCCATATATTGCTCTGGAGGAGGCATACAAATACCTATCGCAGGAAATCACAAAAAACTTTTGCAGAGGGAATTATGAAAGTTGCAGTGCAATTAGACTGCCTCTGCACCCAGCCCCCAGGAGCCCCCAGCTCCCATCATCACCACTGAGTAATCTGCACTTACATAACTTCAAACAAGTTTGCAAATTCTTGTTTGGTTTGGCTGTCTCTATCACACAACCTGGCAGGAGCATTTTTAACTCCCCTGGTCACTGACTCCACAGCTCAGCAATGACTCTCTCCAGTAAAGCAGTGGGTGTCACAGGAGATGGAGGTGGGAGGCAGTCCTACGTTAGCACCAACTGCATCAGAACAGCAACAGATAAGCTAAGACAAGCTAAGCAAATGCTAGAAGAGTCTGAATAAAGATGACTTGTCCTTACTGGCATATAAGGATCTGCCAGAACTGAAAGGAAATACTTGTGACCGTTGTCCTTCACAAGGTCAGCTTGGCATGACTGAAAAATGAGACAGAGACAAAGAAAAACATGATGAATAAAACAATAACATAAAAATATTTTTTCCTCCAATGACATATGAATATTTCACATCTTAATCATTTTTCTCAAATCTCCTTTTCATGTGAGAAGCAAAATAAAGCACAAGCCCTCCATCGGGGCCGCAAGCAAACATCCCCGCAGGAGAAGGGTCGACAGGGAAGAGCGGTGTCTAAAGCAAGGAACCTTCTGCTACCCTCCAACACAACAGAAACAGTAGCTGAAAATGTCACCTCCTGCTTAGGAGAAGAGTTAGACTTGACATCTCTCTGTCCCACATCAGACCTTCACCAGTATTTGAGAGACACCAAAGGCAAAACCAAGGAGGAATGCAATTAATTTTTTTTCCTCTTTTTTTACAATTACCAGAATAAAAATTATGTAAGATGAGATCTTCTAAAAGCTCCTAGTCTTAATTTTCCACTTGATTTCCAATCCCATGTCAAGGCAATTAGCTCACCATAGATCAGGTTTGCTGATAAATGCTGCTCACTAACTTCTAGCTGTACAGTTAAATATCTACCTAACTAGTGCAAAATCCTGGTCAAATCTGTAACGTTCCCCAGGCACGGAGTAAGTGACCTTTCTTTTTAGAGAACATTATAATCACGCACTAGCTACCAAGAGTCAAGCAAGCAGCTTGTGCTGCGTGTTCAGACGTACACGGGCGTTCCTGGCTGCCGAGCACATGGCACAGGCTGCTGCAGATGCTCTCAGGGTCCATCCTCTTCCCCCTGGCTGCCCACCCCGTCTTATCCACAGGACTCCAGAGGTAGGGAAGTTTTTGGGTGTCTGCTCTGTGACCCTGATTATGGGAGGTGCAGTTTGATAGCACAGACAGTCCTTCCTAGTTCTTTCTGTACCATTGTAGCTGATTTTCCAGTTCAGCCTGGCAGGCAGGATGTGAGAGTAAGTGTCTTGTGAATGTTAAAGTGCCATCTTTCACAAGCAGGAGAAGTCTTGCAGACTGCCGCATGCAATAAACCTAGCACATGTTTCTCTTACAGTGGCCCACATCACTGAGCAATTACCAGTAAATCTGTAAGGCTGGGGGACGGAGGAGGAATTATTCATTCTTTATATACTCATTCTTTATATTCTGTCTAATCCCCTGCCCAGGTGGGACTAGATTTTGACAAGAAGATTTCAACTCATCTACACAAACGAGACTAATCACTTTATTTATTTGGTCAAGTGCTAAAGTGTATTAAATCCGTACAACGGTAGCATGTAGTAGCATGATCTCCTACTACACACAATCAAGAACTGTGGAGCAACTTCACTGTCTTTAAAAGCCTATAAGGAGAATAATGCAGGTTTTCCTGGGGTAGTATGAGGAGTGAAGCACATGGCATACACCATGTTTTTGCTAACATACTAACTCAGGCTTCAGGTCGACATATTAGGGTCAAATTGAAAGAATACATACTACAACAATGAAAATTTAAGGGAGGAAATACTGACTTGGCAATCAGTCTCCCCCACGACTGTGGTTCTGTTGTATGCTTCATGCCAGAGACAGGATCATGTATTTTTTATCATGCGTAGAAGGTGAAGGAGGGAACTAATTGTTGAAGGGAGAGGGGATAGCAAGACAGAGATGCAAGAGAATATTTTATTGCTGAAGGGAGTGAAGATGCTGGTTTTGGCAGACCAAAGAGCAGAGGGAATGGATTGATGCCAGGCTGCAGCTACAAGAGGCTTTCCTGACTTCTGTGTAATGCTGCACAAAAAAACCAGGAAAAAATTCCCCCTTTTCATCCTCAGCATGAATACTTTCTGTTCCTTACAAAAAACAATCTCTTTGCTATAATGTAGGCAAACAGACACCAGCAAAGAGAAGGCTGCCCATCTTCACACTACATTTATAGTGCTGCCTCTGTTACCAAATACCTGAGGCTCAAGGGAGGGACGCAACTTTTATAAAGACAGCACACTTGCTGAAACCCTCCCTGCTTAGATCCTGTGAACAATATGGAAAGCCAGCATCAGTAACACCTCCTCCTCAAGGAATAAAGCAGCTACACTTGTGAATAATAATACAACATGACCAAAACAAGCTGCAGGCTTAGTGTGAAAGTTCAGAACTTACATAAAATATAAAGTTCCCAGTGCTGGGGAGGGACTAGAGCATAGATCTCCTCTTTCTCCTTAATATAACATATGTGCTATGTAACTTATCCCTAAAAATCTCACAAGTTCCTGGAATACAGCAGCACTGCCAAGCTCAGGGGTATCCTGGGCAACCATGCTGGTCAGTGAACCCTCACCCCCCAGGTGGGTACCTTTACCACATTATCCTCAGGGAACACTTAACTTGAATATTTGTATTAACCATAAGATAGGAAACAGTAGTCACAATCCTGCTAACAAAGGACACATCTGGAAAGCAAGCATGCTATTTATGTCATGCCATTGCTTTAAAAAGTATGAGAAATGTTTGTTTTCTATTGTCTTCGGCCCATTCTGTGGAGTGGTAAGGTCTTTTTTTCCACTGTCCTACTTCAGTAGTATTCATATTTTCAGTATTGTTTAATGTGCAGGTTTTTTTGGTCTTGCTTAAATTCCTGATTATAGGGACTATTACAGGTGGGGGGATTTTTTTTTTCCCTTTAAATTCAAGTATTTAAGATTTAGAGGGTGCTGTTTACCAAACATTATCAAAGTGGCATGTAGCAAATTCTTGACCTAAACTGTATTTGCAAGTGTTATAGCCATCTCCATGTGGCAGCGCACAACACTACTCCTACACCAATCTATACCTGCCAGATACCTACAGTAGGCAACTTTGAACCATCACTTGCTATGCAGCTCTGCAGGTGGATTGTCTAGAAATACTCCAGCAGGTTTCAGGCAGAGATGACTAGAGTCCTCAATGAATAGCCTATGAAAAATCATCTGATTATACATGGAATTAAAGCAGATTAATCGAAATATTCCAATATTTATTAGGGACACCTATATATCACACACAAACAATTCTGCCTGAGGTGCAATGTTTCTTGAATACCATTGATTTATCCTCTAATTTTTATGACAAAATGCAATTCTTCACAGCATATCATGCTTAATGAAGGTATCATCTGAACAGACACACAGCATACTACACTGCTGTCTCACGTCAGAACACCTTTCTTCTGCCTCCCTGCCCAAAGAGAGGGAGGGACCAGAACAGAAATATTATCTTAGCAGGATATTCTGCTCTCCAGGGCACTAGCAAGTCTTATATAACTTGTTCTCAGTCACATCAAAGAGGAATGAGCAATTAGCTGAACTCCAGTCTTAAATGAAAGTAATTTCATCAGCTACCGTCTCCTGAAACCAAATGAAATACATGTACAGGGGACAGCAGATGAAGGAGAGAGACAGCACCGTACAATTATTGCAAAGATGAAGATTATCTGGCAGAATGTTTGAAAATAAACACACTCTCATATGCTAGGGCAACGGCTTCTGCCTGGATGATGGAGGTAGCACCCACTCGAACCAGAGCCAAGCCAGGTAGATGCACACCCAGTGCAGGCAGAGGATTGCACCCTCAGACCCACACCCCCACCCCACGCGCAGCACTAATGCTACAGCGATTCCACGCAGCCTGACAATTAATTGCTGCATCTACCCTTCGGTCAGCATCTCCAGCGTGCCTGCCTTCATACTCACAGAGCATGCCCCTGCAGTTGTCATCCCCCTCCGAGTCTTATTATAAAAGGCCGTCTCTGAGAAAACGATGCTGACACGCAGCACAGCGTGCTCTCCACGGCTCAGGTCGTGAACTGCAGCATCACTGGATCAACCAAAACACTAACAGACCTTCTCTCAACCTAGAGCATATAAATACCAGTCTTGTGGTTTGTTTAGATAAATTTACCCTCTGGAAATGCAGAGAGCTGGGGAAGTGGAGCAGGCTATAGCGTTAGAGCACTTGGAACCTGCACAACATGCATGCTGCAACACTGGTTTTCATTAAACTTTGTTTGAAACTGAATTTGTTTCAAACATACATGGCCAAACCTTGTGTCAGCAGACGAGGGAAAAGACATGTCTCTATTGATATTTAGCATATAACAAGAAAGTATTCTTTTAGCTTCCAATATGATGATGTATTTGTTCCCTTTATGGTGCAACAACTCAAGCCGCTGCCCGTCTCCTCCCTCGGCAGCATTCATTGCACTTTCCTGCTGAAGTTACCCTCTCCTCCCTTCTCACTTGTACCACTTGTTTGTGGAGCTAGTAAGTGAAACAGCAGAAAAAAATCCAAATACAAAATTTAAGAGTATTTTTTCTGTTGTTTGGTTGTAAAGCACAGCCTACCAAATGAGTGACGCAATAAAATAGAGCATGGGTGGGAGCAACACCAATGGTGGCAGGAGGGGTAGGGGGGAAAGAGCCCTCTCAGATCGGCTTCACCACCAGAGAGAGTGAAGGATGGCATGACACTTCACGTAAATTATACATGAGCCTACTCTGAAACGTACCTGGGGCTGAAGCGTCAGCCATGGAGAGGCATGCATCAAAAAATAAGCTTTTCAAGAGTAGCTTTAAGATGAATCGTTTTCATTTTCTTTCCAAAATCCTCTTAGGATGTTAGTGAAAATGTATTTATAAAACTAAACCTGACAATGCTAGATCAACAGTGGGGAAAAATTCCAACAAATTCAATATTATTCTCCACACTGAAATGGAAGTGATATAACAAAAATAAACCCCCAAATAGGCAAGATCCAACTTCTACAAGCAGTTCAGACAATTTCATATTGGCTTATAATCGTGCCTGCAATTAACTGTGTGCACCACTCCTAATAATTTTATGTTATTACACTTACAAACCACAGAGTCATATATATATCACTATACAAATTCATCTGCAATTACTTACCTGCTTAATTATTTTAAACCCCACAAACTAGAGCTCTGGCTAAGGCCATCTTTAAAAATCAGGGCTCAGTTTTTAAACCTCAACCCAAAAGGTGCCAAAATGTTGTAGAGAAGAACAGAATCATGGACCTGTGATAGGAATAATCTGTCTTCCGTAGGGGTAAATACTTCTATGCCAACCATCTTCAATGCATCAGCATGTGCATTAGACTTGGAGCAGGATTTATAAGCTGAAGTCACCAAAAATCACTTTTATTTCTAGAAAAATTCTGTGTCTGAAGACTACCCACAGCCTGTTTTGACAACTGACACAACGGTCTTGAACAAACCAAGTTTAATCACTATCTGAAATGAACAAATTGAGGGAGAGTATGAGTGCGTGCCTGTGCGCTCTCACCTGGGAATATATGACAGAACATAGGAGTGCTTTTTAAGCCCCTTCAGCAAGCAAAGCAATATCTTCCCCAATAAAGATGCAATCAGTGAGAGCTGATGGCTTTTACCTAGAGCACCTACACCCTAAAACCAGAGGAGGAACTAGGAACTGTGAGACGTTAACGTGACGTCGCAGCATTAACAGACAGAGCAAACCTGCTTTCATCCTGGGCAGGCGTGAAGAAGTGGGCAGCCAAACTACTCAGTGTCAGCACCTTAATGGGGGTTTCCCATTCACAAAGTTTCGGAAGCTAGCTTTCATACAAGTCAAATAAATTAATGAGATAATATGCTGGTCTCCAGCTAATGCAGCATGTTTTTGAAGTACCTCAGGAGAAAGTCCCAAGTCTAAAGCAACTGGATAAAGCAAACAGGGAGGGGGGGAAAAAGGCACATTGGTGAAACCCCAAAGAAACAGCCAAGTTCAGAAGTACTCACACTGTCCACTGCCAGAATTTTGGCCCAGATGAAGACAAGGAGTGGTCTCAGCTCACGAGCTGAACTTTGAAGTAGCTTCAGCACATACGGAAAAATGCCAACAGACAGGGCCTGGGGAGCCAGAGAGAACAGCAAACCCTCATGAACAGCTCAGCCTTACTGCAGAGGCAGCAGCGCGGAGGGGCAGGACTGAGCGCTCTGCGAAGATGCAGCATACTTAATGACACAGATGAGAAATCTGGTAGAAAACAATTTCATACATTTCTAGTAAAGAGGGGATCCCTGTGTATTTGTCTATTGCTTGTTTTCATCTTGGATGTCACCAGATATTTTCAGACTCATTTGGTCCACAGAGACTCAGAGTTAATCTAGCACTAGCTTTTACTCGTTACAGCCTGTGCTATTTTATGCTTCATGATACGTTGCACTCTCCTCAGATGGGGCCATTTGCTCTCACAAGTAAACATATTGCAAAAGCTTAATAATTACAGCCTTCCCACTGGAAATTAAATAAGCCTCTCGCCTTACACAGACTTTTTACCAAGCCTTTTCCATGGGATTAGAGACTATGCTCACAGGAGGACACGCAACACGTAAAATCTTTGAGAATCCCACTGTGATTGCTGATACCCTTCCCAAAACACAACGTAAAGGAAATGTATGGTGGGGGATTGCACTTGCAGCACCGGGCTCCCGGGGGGTTACCACCCACACAACCTGCAGCAGCTGAGCATCACCCAGTGATACGGCCAACAAGGTTTATAAAGCACATTAATAGCCAGAGAGAAGTCCACTGTGGCTGACTTGCAGCTATGTTTTGATCCTCATAGAAGTTTATAATCCAGAGGTCTTAAAATCACCTTTAGTGCATACTTTCTTCCTACCACTGAGGGCTAAGCTGTCCACGAAGGTGTGCAGAGGGTAATCTTGCCTGAGAAGGAGGAAGTTTAAGAAAACCACTAAAAAGTCCCATCATTGAGCTATTCCACAACTAGTTGGTGGTTCGTCTTCATCACTTTTATCAACAAATAGCTCCATTTACAAGAGTGTTTTAAACTGCTCCTCTGTTTAATTCTTATTTACTATCCACACTGTGCTAGCCACTTTCCAAAATGCAGAAGGCAGCTGCTGCATTCTAAGCAGAGCTTATAAAATCCAGAGACCAAATAGATAAAGGAAGAGAAGAAAATGATGCAGCTAGTCAGCTGAGAGAACAGACGATAAATGTATGCGCTATTTTTTTGTTATTTATTTTACAAGATAAACCTTCTTATTTGTCCCAGATATTTCCTCCTGTTTTGTCCCTTAGAATATTTTACACTAAACTATTCCCAAGGAACTCCTCTTTGTTGTAATGCAAATGAACAGCTATTCGGCCTTTTTGATTAATACAAACCACTTTTTTTTTTAGGGATGCTTGCTCCATTGCACACACATGAACACTTAAAATACTGGTCATTTGTCAAATCTGTGGAATATCTTCCACATCTTCCTTCCATAAATCATCATTTGTATTTATCGCCTATACTGAGATAAACTAGACTTTTACAAGACAATATGCAACATCCACGCACCAAGCTAACTGCCCAGGGACCCAGGTCCAAAAATCTTCCCAGCAAATCAAGAGCCCGCAGCCGATGTACCTGGCTCAGCAGCACCTGCAGAGAAGAGGGATAACGGTTATTGCTAAAAAGAACAAAAATTCTTGGGACTGCAGAGTGAATCTAAGACGACCTCAGGATCATTACATCACTTTGAACAATCTGATGGTCTGAACAAAAAAGCTGGAAGACAAACCCTGACTGCTGAAAACTTTCACTCCACTGAACAGTGTCACCAGCGGGTTACTGCCCCTCCTGATAATGCTCTCCTTCATGAAGTTTCTGCAGACACATAGAAACGTTTTCGTAGGAATGCAGTTCTCCTTGATCTCCACGTCATTGCTCCACTTGTTCTCTCTGCTAATTTTTCTCTCAAATGCAGTGCTTCCTATGCAGCATAGTTCTGCTAGATGGAAGCAGCCCCTATGGATTTCAAATATTCTCATCGTACCACCTGCCTTTCCCCAGTAAACCAGGAACACAATTGTATCTGCGGGAAAGATTCAAAGGTGAGCAAAAGGCCCAGTCTCCCATTACTCAAAACAGCTCAGAAGCAGAAAAAGAGGCTTTGCTTTCCTTGGCAAATCGATGTAAGAGACTTAAGAGGGAAGCAAAAGGTCACATTAGTCGTTAATAAAAATCTCATTAAAACGGAGTCTGACAACGATAATGAGGCAGTAGTTTACTGGCTTATACCTACCCTGGTGTGAAATATTAACAGACAGACTTTCAGTTCTTAATCTCCTTAACAGATGTAAGATATTGGAATGCAATGTTTAATCCTCAGTTTAAATTGAGTAACATCCCTCAGCGTACATCTCAGGGAAAGCAACTCATTGATTTAGCTCCCCAATTCCATCCCCTTCTCAGTGTTTTTCCACTTTGTATATTCAAATTAAATTATTTTTCATGTTTAATATTGAAGAATAACTAAATTACTTGGCTCATGTCTCATCCTATGGACAACTGATACTAAAGTTGTGCAGAAAAAGTCCAGAAGAAGAAGAGAGGAGGATGTGTTAACGACTCTAATCATTTCACCTCTGAACATTGGAGCTCAGATCTCAGGACAGGTCGTAAGAGAAAGGATTTTGGTCATCCTGCCCTAGTTGGCACCAGCCTATTCCATAAACTTACTACAGAACTTGGCACAATTAACAATGTGCTTTAAAGATGCACAGCACAGGAATAACAGGGGCAGCTGTTTGAGATTAAAGCAGTAATAGAAACCAGGGCATGGTGGAAGCTGGGGCAGGGCTGAAACAACAGACAGGAACATGTTAGGTGCAGGGTGCTTACACAGACAATGGGAGGCATACAGATAGACAATGCTGTTAGTATCTGACCTGCAGAAAAAAAACCCCAGTAAATCTACAAATTCTGTCATAGCTGGGGAAAAAAATGGATGTTATTGAAAAGGATTTCCAGGTGAAGATACAAAACCACATCTCAACATTGCTAGCATTCCACAAGAACATTTAACCAAATCAAATTGTGTCTTATTTTAAAAGCTCCATTTCACTATTTTCAAAAACAAAAAAAGCCATCAGTCTCTCAGGTTTTTATATTCCCACTTCACAAACTGATTTGCACAATAACCTGAAGCCAAACCTGACACGAATTCTAGAGACTTGCATGAGGATATGGGGAGTCTATGCACAATTTATGAACTTCTGGTGAAATTATGAAATTGTTACACTGTGCCACTATATGCACACAGCACTGCGCCACATCCCTCCCTGACATTTGTCCATCATTATTCCTAAACAGAAGGTAGGGAAGCTAATTATGTCCACACATGCAAGTTAGAGATTAACCAGGAGAAAAGAGGATAATTTAGAAGTAACAGTCCACATTTTCGCAGGAATCTCCTAACAAATGCAGGAAGGAAGAAGGGGACTGCAGCAGTGGTCTCCCCATGGCCTTCTGTGGAGTAAGTGCTACTCTTGTCTGCATGCACTGGAGATCGCATTGCAGGAGGTACGTCCGCAAGGATCAAGCATCTGCTGCTCAGCCTCGTTCAGGCTGTGCATATGGCTAACTTCTCTTCGATGACTTCTCTCTTCTCTGCACCAGGAAGCCACGTGTGTCCAATCTGCCCCATGCACAGCAAGAACTCGAAATGGAAAGAAACTTCTTGAAGTCAATTAAAAGGCCATTTACAAAGGGCCATTTCCCCATCCTTGACAAACCCAAGCTTTGCATGGCTGGCATCATGGCCCTGGCACTCAAATACCTTCTTCCCCCAGTGCCACATCTAAAATGGGAAAACAGAATCAGCCTTTGTTAGGGTACAGCAGCGTAGTCTAAGCACTCCCAAGGGGTCAAAGCAAAAAGACAATCAAAAGGGGTCTGAAATGCACTTCCTTCCCTCTCTGATCAGTTGGTCTCTGATTCAAAGTATCTCAAACCTGTTAACAAGCAATCTTATTCCACTATAGAATTAATATGCTTTAATTATAAGAATAATTACATTGCCCTAGCTCATTTTTGCTCCAGGAAGGAAAGCGGGTTCCTTTGCCAGGTGACCTCTCAATTCCACTGCAAGGTTAAGCTACCTGCAGAGCCCTCTGGTGCCAAATAATTCACTGGAAAGCAGCAAAGCTGGTGCTAGAGTAGAAGCCTGCCTTCTCCCATTGCAGTGACAGAGATAAACCATACATCTGTTTATCCAACTGATCTCTCAAGGCTTGGGAGGCTCAGGGAAGTTCAGATTTGGTATTACAGAGATTGATGGTGCTGTCAGTCACAAAACAAGCTGGTACCTAACAGAGAGAAGGTGAGTCTTCTCACATTTAGTGAAAGAAATCACATATCCTTGTACAAGTGACTGGAATCATGTTCCTTTAAATGGAAAGACTTTAAATTTTGCTGCCTGGTAGAGAAGAGACCACAGCTACCTTGATGAGGGTTTATATTTCTGTCAATACAAACTCCTGGGGAGGAGAGGGCAAGAGCAGATGACAATTTTAATATGTGCCTGGCCATAAAATATTATTTGAAATGAGGTGTTATGTTTCTCCCAGATTTACTTCTCCTTTATACATATGAACTTTGTCTCGTCTGAGCAAATGCCTACCAGAACTCTACATTCCTTCCAGGCATGGTCTTCAGAGATTTGTTTCTATGTTCTTGCAGCAAAATTTCAGCATCACATTAAAGGGAACACTTTCCAGGCTGTACCAGACAGATAAAGAAGCCATTTCCAAACTATTTACACTGCAGTAACTTCCACTTTCTGCAAGCAGAGAGAAGATAAAGTCTCTGCCTGACAGAGCTGGCATAGAAGAGGAGATACTACAGGAGAAAACAACAAAGATGTGCTACTCTGTGAAAAAGTCTTGCTACTTCAGAGCAAAAGAGGAGGCAGCAGAGCCTGATACTGTTGAAGCTGCAAATGGACTATAGCAGGAAGTTTTGCTCAACAGAGAGCGAAGGTATGGGAGAAGAAAAGCACTTTGTCTTCATCCGCACAGGTCTAGTAAACATGCAATCAGCTCTAATTAATCCTGAAGGAGCCCACGTAACTTATGTACCCAAACGCCATCTGGTTGATAGCGCAGCACTCAGCGGGCAGGGAGAGGCATGCACAAACACGCCATGTCAGCTGTGGCCGAGCTCCCTGCCCCAGCCACTCACCTGCAGGACGATGGGGAGCTGCTCCGGGGGATTGCGGTTCTCCACACCCATGGTCAGCCACACCTGGAAAGCAGTCAGCTGCTCCGCAAAGAAGGGACTGTGCTGTTGAGGCAAGAACAGGAATGCAAGTTTGGCTTAAAACAAAACCAGAAACAAGCAAAGCAAACAGTTTTGGCACTTATGGACTCGCACAGTTTATCGTTTCCAAAACCTTCTTTTTAATTGACACGCGTTTGTTTATGTTTTTTTAAATGTATAAAAATTTTCCAAAGGCTAACCAGATATAATTCACTTTAAATATGTTGGCATTCTCTAATGTAAGTGTTTGGAAAAAAGGAGAAGGAAAGAGTAGAGAACCAGGAAAAGATATCACAAAAGGTCTTAGGGAAATCTGGCTATTCTTTTCCACATGAGAAGCAGATAGAACAGCAGTGGATTTATCTGTTCTGCAGAGGTAGTTTCACTCCCGTAGCAGCACACAGTGCTACCTCTGCCCAGTCCACAGTGAATACTACCCAACACAACAAAAAATATGTCCATCCACGTCTCAGTCATCCCTGGCTGCCATAAACCTCTCCTACAAACAGGTGGCAATTCAGATGTGCTGGTTTGGGCTGCAAGAAGGCTGCCTCCTATTTATCATGTTTTTAATTCAAGCCTTTTATTTAGCTATTCATCACTCTGACACTCGTAATGCAGTAAAAGGACTTCATACAGGCAAACAAAAATCAGAAAATTTACTTAAGATATTGAATCCACTAATTTAATTAGAGATATCCTGGTAGCATGTGTAAATGGGAACAAAAATAACATGCAGAATGCTACAGTACTTAATAGACTTTACACTAGTGCCCTACTAAAGATACAAGGGGTGGGGTGAACTCCCACCAGCTAATACCTATCAGTTGTACTTTGGTACTTGGTGCTTAAGACAGTACAATCATATGTTATTTTACAAAATGCATCTGAATGGCATCCAGTAAATATAAAGGATACTAGCTCGTAGGATCTCTAGACATAAAGGAATCTGGTTTAGGGGACAGCAAATACAAGTAGAGAAAATACTGCATACTTTGAAAAACATATGACATAACTATGGTCTTACTCTAACAAGATGTGATTGATTGGGGGTGCACCACACTGGCTGATGAAATAGGAAGTTTACTTGGTGAGATCTGACATTCTGCAGCACATTTTAAGGCCCTGGAGCCTGCTCAAAAGAGCAGAGCAGCTCTCGTCTCCTAACACCGGTGGTGACTGGCCAGTGATCTGACACTCATTCCCCAAAGCACTCTACTCTGCAGTGCACACTCGGACAGTCCTTGGGCACATCAGCATCCCCTGCCAGCGCAGCAGCACTTCGAGAAACATTCCTTTTGCCATCTATCACACCAAGTACATGGTACAAGCTAGGTACGAGAAAGTACCGACCAAATCTCACAGCAGCTTCCAGTTAGAAATCCACAGAAAACCAGAAATTAAGGGGGAAGGAGGCAGGGAAGAGATGGGAGGAGGGAGAGTAAACCAACCCAAACCTGCCAGAAGCCCAACTGCTCCCCGCCATCCCCCCCCGTACGAGCGCTGTGAGCCCGCAGGCCCTTCTCCATCACGTTATCATATTTTCCAGGTCTGGCTAGGAAAGAACACCTAGAGAATAAGCAGAAGTCAGACACACGTGGTTTTATAATGTGCTGCTGAAACAAAACAGCCCTGAAGAGATTATCAATTGCTTTATCCAGGGCCAGACTGGACTCTAAACCCACAGCAGCCAACGCGGCCGGCGAATGGATGGCAGCAGGTAATCCTGTGACTCACCCGGGCATTTGACATCCCAGACACTGATTGCTGCTTCTGCCAGCCTCGTTACGAAACAGGCTGACTAACCTCAGTAACACAACGCTCCTTCCCCCCGCCTTGCATTGAACAACAATTTCTCCCAGGATTACTGCTGGCCAGCAGCAGCTAACCTTCTCTGATACACAACAGTTCTTGCCGGGCATAAATCAAGGGTTTTTTGAGGGCAAAACGTTGATTAGAACACAAGGAATAGATCAGCAACTGTCTGTCTGCTCCAAGCATTTGTCACAGCGTAGAGCTAAGCCCCTTCCACTCCCTCCCAAACTAACAGCCAGGTTCCATATTCCTGTAGGTGTCTCAGAGAGAGATGTTCAACAGGTTAATATCTGTCCCCTCTCTACAGAGCAGGCACAAACCTACACAGCATTAATCACGCTGGATTTTAAATGAAAGCGTAAGGGATAGCTCAGAAGAGGACTTGAGCCTGCTTTTACGTCTAGGGCCCGGACTAGCTTGGAAATTTGCAGCATTCAGGCTCCCAGCTGTGACTGCACATTGATAGCTCTAGCTACCTCAAGTTCTAGCCAAAATACACAAGAAATTACATTCGTTAGGCTTGAAAAATCTGCTTGTAAATTGCTTCCACCCTATCTTGAATCAATATCACTAGTTGAGAATGACCACTCTTACTTGCTGATCTCTTGTTTAATCTCTAGCAAGTATGTGCCTCCTCTCATCCCTGAAACACACAGAAATTTGCTAAATTTCAACTCACTTGACAGTGAGTGCCCAGATGAGGTCTAAGACTAATATAAAAGCACCCACTGACATTGTTAAAGACCCAAAATAAAAATGAACATAAGCTAGAAGAAAAATCATGTTTAAATTTTAAAATACAGCACATACAGTGGGGAAAGAAAGTGGTAGGAGGATAAAAGCCTCAGGGCATCTTTGCCAACCCCCACCCTCACAGAAGTCCACAGCTCTCCTCCTGTACTTGGGTCTTTGGAGACAACCTGCAATCGCAGCCAGAAAACCTTTCAGGAGCTTGGCAACATAAATAAAATGGAAGAATGTTACTGTAAAATTAGAGAGAACATCATGGCAGAATTGGTATCTGAGGTTGTCCAGTAATTATTATTTAAAGGTTTCCATTCATGAACGTCAAAAGGAATATCGAGAAAAATCCAGTCTGACTAGAGGAATTTAAGCCAAATATAATATTAAAAATTTTACTTTTCTGCTCTCTCAAATTAACTAAAGTAGAAAAAAACCCAGTCACTCATATTAATGATACTATGCTTAAGAAAACTCTTTGGACATAGCCTCAAGCTCTATTTTGTGTTGATTTGAAAATAACTCTACTAAGAGACAATTTTTGCATTAAAGTTTTTCATTTAAAAATCATGCTGGCACGTTGGGATTTTTTTCCTAACGGCACTGTTACTCAAGACTCAGGGCTCTGAAATTTTAAGAGTCAGGTCTCAGGCATGATTTCTACTGGTAGGAGTTTCCTCCTTACCAACAGATGCAGGCTGAATCAGACATCTCGTACAACAGTGAAGAACTTAAAGTTGCTTTTCTATCTGTTCCTCTAAGTGAGGTGAGTAGACATTTACAATTTTCCAAAAATATAAACCCTTAAACTGCAGCAATTCAAGACTCAACAAGCAAAAGTGATACGCTGAACTGAGGTTTCAAATAATGGGTTAAACTGGGCATGTTACTGATTTGTTATTAGTTAGAATTAATTTTAATAGGAATATGGAACTATAAGAAATATTTTAGCAAAATTATATATTGCATTCTATATATTTAACCAACAACTAACAGCTGCTGTGAAATCCCCTGTATGGCCCTGTACCAAGGCCAGAGGAATTGGTTAAAATCATCTAGTAGGAACATTTAGAACTTAGATAACAGAGGTCAGAATTTCAAATTAATAGGAACTTAGGAACTTAAGAAAATGTATTATGTGTAACTATAAGAATTTGAGTATTGTTTGAAATCAGTTAACCACGGAAGCTTTGGTAAAGATTTACTTCGATCTAATTAACGAGAATTCCAATCAGTAGAGTTAAGTGAGATTAGCCAATGATTGTTTTAGTATAAGAATATTGATAAGGTGGTGTGACTGAGGGCCAATCACTAGAAATATTAAATTCAAGAATTAACATTGAATGTACTTTATGTAAATCTAATACATGATGGCGAAAATCGTACTGCGCAGAATCACATGAAAGGTCAACTATCGGACAAAGTGAGGAAGACTATGGAAGACCACCAGAGGGCTTCTGAAGACCACCAGAGACCTTCACTGCGCCTGCGTAAAGGACATTTACATATGCTAAGAACTTCCCAGAAATCTAATGAATATGCATAACATTTCTCAGAAATCTAATGAATACGTATGAGTAAGTTTAATATAAGGTGTATGATTTTGGTGTTCAGGTGTGCGTGGTTCGTGAGAGGACTCGCCCGCGCACCCGGCCGTTAATAAAGAAGTGTCTGCTTATCTACACTACACTGGTGTTGATAAGTTCTTTATTCCGAGTTTTTCGGTAACAGGCACACGACACTTCAAGATATTATCCAACTTACCCTAAAAGCAGTTCCTTCCTCTATAATTGTAGGTAACTGGGAAAGGCAAATATCAACTGCAAGGTCCCATGCTTGCCTAGAGAAAAAGGTGAAAGGAAAGATAAGTCATTACAAGTTATCCATAAGTAATATCTAGGTAAATTTAAATTCTGATCATACAAGTACCTGGACAAAGCAGTGTTATCTGACTGGCTTAGAAATGCTTAATATTCACTTTTTTAAAAAAACAAGTAAAACTTAGGAGAACTATTCAGGAAAAACAGTGAGAAGGTCTAGTCCAGCATCATATCAGGCTGACCAACAAAATGAGAGCAAGGTAAAAAGATCCCTAGCTGAAGTTCACAGAAACTACTCCTCTCTATAACATAGAAAGAAGCCACAGTGAACTGAAGTCTTATTATATACCTGTCCTCATGCAAAAATGGATGACTTTTTTTTTTTTTAAAGTAGAAAAATGAACTCAATCCTGGATTAGCTCCAACCCATAATCCTTCAACGCACACCTCTATATGCGTCCAAACCCTCGCTTGCTCTGATTCAAGTCACATCAGAACACCTCAGGAAGATGCATTCCTGTCGACAAGCCCTCCAACTCACAATACATGGACACATCTACACCACTACACTAATTCTCCTTTTCCGCATTCTCGACACAGATACCGTATCACTGTGCATAGTGCTGAGAAAAGTAACTCGGTCTCCATTAATCTAACTCTGAGTTGGGTTTTGTGTGGCAACCTTGTTTACAAAGACTGGCTCTCCATGACTCACCCTAAGGATGGAGGGATGTACACTAACCTAGAAGAAGAGAAAATATTTAAGGATTTCAGTTTTTATGCTTACCTACTGTATTATTTAATGGCTAAAGTATTGTGACTTACAATAGTTTAGTGTTAGTGTTATAACAGCACGTAAATTACATACAGTGGCCAAGGAAACTGTTGTGGCTGATTCAGTGCAAACGAAATATGTTAAAAGTCTGCTTCAAAATGCTCACAAACCAAAAGAGGACCAAACTAAAATAAATGCGTGTGGTCTCCAAAGTTCCTAAAACACCTCTAAAAAAGTGAAAGAGTTACTTTTTACCCCAGGAACAATTATCCCTACTCTATCCACAGACATGCCATGCACTTTTCATTTTAACACACGTGCTCTGAAAGGCTAGTGAGTTAAACCACCACCCACTGGGTTTCTTACACAAAAGAAACTAATTTACTCTCCAGACACATTTGCTCTTCCATAGCTTGTGGCCATCATGTGTTAACATCAATAGGCTAAGCAATTTTTCTTACCCTAGGAACATTTGCAGACATAAGGCTATAGGTGATAATCAATACAGTGTATTTTAGTTACCTGCTCTAATAAGTTCTTAAATCACCCTGTTTTGAGTCAAACAAAGCCTTCCATTAGGACAACTGCCGAGCGAAATCTATCCCATTAGCCTAACTGGCAGCTGTTCTCAACTGAAAACAACCTCTCCAATTAGATAGAAAAATAAACTATAAGGTTCCTGCATTTTTTCTATGGATTTGAGAGATGCAGCTTGTTTTAGTTGCCCCAGACCTTGTCCCTCTGCTTCACAGCACTCACCTTCACTTGACAATATGCTGCCAATATAATTAAGAGGTAATCAAGAGATAATCAAAGCACAGGCAACAAATGCTTCCCACATGCTCAATAAAGACCCATGCTGGAGATAAAATGTTTACACAGAGCTGATGAGAGAGATATTTATTCCTGGTTGAGGCTGAGGCAAAGTCAATTAGTGCAAATACAAAGATAATTTTACTTCAAGCAAAGAATGAATGTTTCCGACTTTCAGGTTTCTTGGGGGAATGGGCAATACCACCTAAAGAAATTCTCTCAAACATTAGAAAATGTCAATACATATTGCCTTTGAGATAAGTTTTGCTGCGCAGCAGAAAAATGGTTTAGAGATCAGAGACAACTAGTCTTATTTTGGCTGCCTATAAAAGGATTCTGCATAGGTCATTATACTGCAGAGACACAGAGCTAAGATGCTGAGCTCCTCAAAGTCATTTTAGGTAAGAAGCACTAATACTGCTACAAATACGTCCAAAGCAGCCCTGCAACGTCACATGTCAAAAGATTTTAAGTGCTATCAGAAAGAACAAACAAAAATTTAAAAAGAGATTTTAGTAGATTAAAACAAAATCTCTTTTTACGCTTCTAAAAACAGGCCATTAAAAATCAATGTAGCCACACAGCCAACATTAGTCAATCTTTCAAAAGAGTAACCACCAACATAAAATCTTAACATTACTGCTCATCACAATCTAGAGAGCTGGTGATTAACATCAACTGTGTAAGAGACTCTAATCAATTCAAATACTTAAAATTATTATTCTCCAGCCTTTCCAGACTAGCCCAACACACCGCTTCTGCTCTATTTCTGCAGGAAACAGGAAACCTCCCCACCCAACGAGACACGTGAGCAAACAGCAGTTTTGCTTGAAGTAAAACTTCACTATTTCCAACTACTAGAACAGCTACACGTTACTTGCGAGACTTCAAGCTGGACACGAGTTGCCACATAGCTAACTCAGGGTGTTGGCAAAACAGACAATGGCATTAAACAGGCATTACAACAATTAAAAGATTCAAACCCTGCCACAAATGAATGGTAAAGGACTAATGCCACCGAGTATGAGAAGAGAAACAGAAGGGGAAAAATACTTGTTATGGTGAAAATAACGGCTGGTGGTGGTGGGGAGGAGGAGCAGTGATTGACTGTTTTAATATGCCAAAGGGAACTAGGAAGGTGGGCAAATTGTAGATATGCTCGCTGAACTAATATTACACTTTAGCACACAAACAGAAGATAAATTAGGGAGCAGCAGTGGAACAAGGATAGGTGGTGCTGCATCCTAGAAGTGATTTATAAAGGCCAACCCAAGAGATCACTACTTCTCTTCCTTCTTTGCAGAGATTGCTGTTCGCAAAGCACTTTGGAAGATTTGTTTTCACTACATTAGCTACAAAAAGAGCTTGGTAATACCTCAGCATTGTTCTTTCCTCCCTCCTTACTGCACTCTTCCAATAACCCCGAACCCGCCACCGTGACAAGACGACACTATGATGTATCCACTGGACAATAACCTACCGAAATATTGCAGTGTTTCAACTTCACTACATTACGCTACTAAAGAATATCTTTATGAGTTTTTTTTATACTATGTTGTCCTAATCGCTCTGTATGTACAACAAATTGATAAAGCACTTGCATAAGGGAGGACACCTCCCCTTTGTACATCCCAGTTAAGTTAGAACCTATCATATGCTTAACGTAAGGTTTTATACACACTCCTGTTATGTCTTCCCCAAAAGGGCAATAAAAACAAGCAATCCCACGCCGTGACTGATTTGACCAAGTCCAAAGGATTTCCATCATACACCACCTATCAGTAAGCGGCCGTTTCTATGTGGTCTAAACCCAACATGTATGAGGCAGTAACTCGAGAGAACCTGGGAAGAGGCACCACAGGAGGTGAAGCTCAAGTTACTCATCAGCTGGACCACCAGCCCTCAAACCACAAGTTCAAAAGCTTTTTTATGCAATCAACCACACAGCATGGCTATACTGACCCTTATGCTTGTTCGGGACCTGGCAATTTTCGTAGTGCAATCTCATTAAAGAAAGGGGTCAAACCCACAGACTTTCAGCTATGTTAGGATGGGGGACTCCTTAGGTTCAGCTACTGGGAAAACATAGTATCGTGCATTTCCCATATATATTTCAGAATAAATGTATATTAAATCCTCTCCTTAGTTAGAAGATTGACTCAGTTAAAAAACAGGCAAGAAAGTGCTTTTGTTTATCCAAAACAAGCAAAGCAATGCAGCATGCCAACAGAAACCGTCTGTAAAGAAAACAAGCTAACAACGCCCTGCATCTGTCTGCACTGATCAATCAGTTCAACAAGGTACTCAACATACAAGATGCAAGCCATCATCCTGCAAAAGGACACTGCATTTCAGAATAGATGAAAATTAAAAAAGAAAAGGCATTGCTCCTCCATAATTCTACAATAAAAAATGAAACAGGGAAAGAGCTCCCCCAAATTCGTCAATTCTCTTCTCCCATGACAGAAATACTCATATATTTGTCTTTATATTTTAGTTTCAGTTTTTCTTAGCTCTTCAGCACAAAGTTCCTATTCACATGCCCCCCAGACTCCATCTATCTCCCCCGCTCAGTCCAATACCAGTTTCATTACAGTAGGACTGTTTAAACTTTTAATAATTTAACATGAACTCATCCAGCTGCCTTTATTTTGTTTCCCGGAGGTGCTGCAAAGTTTGGACTTTTAAGCAAAGAACAGGCTGAGAGTTCCAGCTTTGCTCAATGACTATTTTATTGTGCAGATCCATGAAATGTTCGGTAATGGAAGCCCACAGTAATACTTTAACAGCATAAATGAAGCATGGTTACAGTGATGCACGTTAGTCTTTCTTCACCCACATGTACTATATTAGCTGGCAGATCATGAAGGCAGATTTTCTTAACCTCAAATTTTGTGGGCTGAGTCAATGCCTAATGCTTTTGATTCTCATGTCACATTTTTTATAACATATTATTGATGCCTTTTAACATTCTCTCTTCTTCTGGGAATAGTTTGTATTATATTGCACTGCACATAATATTAGTGAAAATGAGTATTTCTTACTGGGACAGTCATGCAGTTGAAGCCTTCTGTAGTCTTGGGGCTCAGGCACCAGGGTATCTGCTTGCTTTGAATTGTGTTTCTGGAACTGCTAAATATTTCAGACTTTAACAAGTATGTTGGACAAGATTTTTCATGTTTGTTTTTTCTACAAGTACAATTCAACACCATACTCTGATTGAATTTTCAGACTTCAGCCTGAATTCACCTGCTTCACAGTGACACTGTGAACTCCCTAAGCCTGCTTTAGGAGAGACAGCTGGGAAGCTGCTCAGACACAGCTATTTTTAAAAAATATTTATTGCTATGAATATTTGGTACAACTATGAAATCCTTCTTTCTTCTACCAATGCATTCCCCTGCTCTACCCACAACTTAAAGCACATGCTTTGCTATTTTTGCCCTACATTTCTCTCCATTAAACTATTTGTAGTCCATTAATGGGTCTTGGCGATGTTAAGACTAACACATAGACACACAAAAAGAAATCTGGTTAAATCAACAGTGTAATGTGAATTAATCTAATCCTTCAAGTGTCAAACAGTTCCAAATACCCTTTCAAACAATCACTTTCTTCTTGCTGAGATACTAAGTCTTTCTGTGCAGCTAAATGAGACTCATTTCTTTGAGAAATCGGCAAGCAGACCTGCATCCATTCTGCAACACTCCCACAGTGTTCAAAGACTCCAGCTCCTCTCTTACCTGTAATTGGGTTGCTATATCATGGTTTTCTTTTCAGCTAGAATTCCAAGATTATTTTATTTGCAGTATGTTATGACTTACTTTCAAGTAGAATTTCATGGTTGGTGTACACACTATTGCAATATTTCTATTATGGACAAATCATAGCTCTTCCAAGGCATAATTAAGGCACTTCCTTTTTAATATATGACCTACGTTAGGAAATATTTCCAAACACATTATTAGGTCTTTTCAAAGGCCGTGAATATAACTTGCTGGCAACAGCAGTAATGTATAAACCATAATCCATCACAACAGAGATCAAGATGCTGACAGAGCATCAAGGTCTCCTATTCTTACTGCACAATAGATGGAACAACTCTAGAAGTTGAATAGCACAGCCAGTCAATCAATATATATTAATATTAATACTTGTATTATAGTAGCGCCTGCAGCAGCCAAGAACCTATGGTGCGAGGCATCATACAAATACAAACAAACAGCCTGTGCCCAGAAGGGTTTACACCTAAGCAGGTAAAACAGAGAAAGCCAATAAAAGTAAGAACAACACGAAAGAATGAAGTAATATGTCAGAGCCTACCAAACAGGGCAAGGTCACAGAGATCAGCTCTCCTGATTCCTAATTATGGTGCCCTTCTTGGTGAAATAAAAAGATTGACAGCTTGTGGGTCAAATTTTCCCTCAAAAAAAAAAAAAAAGTTTTTGCTCTTCCTCAGTTGTTCAGGTAAAACGGATAATTAACAGAAGAGGTAACAGTGGTCTCCCAAATGAATTGACTAGAACAACAATTTTATAGGTCAAAATTTTAAAAAGCTGTTTTCAAAAGGACTAAACCAAAAGGAACAGAAGTTCATATCTCCAGCAACCTCAGTGCTTCTATTACAACCGTGCCAGATCCTCGAGTCACGAGACATTTGAGTGTAACTTCGGGAAAATTATCAAACAAGCAGAGACAAAGGTAAGCAAAAAAGATAAAGAGCAAATGGTTCAGATTTTACGTCTGAAAAGGGGCAGTCGTAATTATTCATGAGGTAAACTGATGCTTAAGCCAAGTGTGAGGAACGTTTTGCAGTGTCTGCCCACCCCTCCAGCACGCTCACAGCCAGCTGCACGCCGCCAGCCTCGCTCAGCTCTTCTCTGGCTTCCTCTCGGAACTGGCAGAGCTCTGTCATCCAGCTACAGACAGCAAAGAGGAAAGCAGGAACGTCGTGCTCTGACCTCAGAAGCCCATCTGCATCAGCGAGGCATGAGCTCTTTCTGCTCTTTTCCCTCTCACTCACTGCGAGATGTTCCTAGTAAGAGAGTTGCAAGGCCGGTGCAGAGCACCACGCGTGCAAATTCATGGCTGCTGCTGCGATGAGGAGGGACATCCAGGCAGTGTATGCAAAGTTCAGAAGAGATTGTGCTTACGATGCTATAGTCAGTGAAACACTGACATGTACTTATGCCTCTTCTGCAAAAGATGGTGCAAAAAACCATGTACTAACACACAACAGTAATTTGCTTCTCCAGTCAGCCTTCTGCTGGGATAGGAATTACGTCTGTATGTAGATCCCATTTTTAGTCACTATCCCAGCTGTGAATGTGCAGAACGGCTTGTGTCCATAACAGCAGAGAAACACGGTAATCTTATATATTACCTTTGTCAATGGAGGAGCAAAGCCCAGGAAGCCAGAGGAGCATCCAGAGGATAATGGAAGAGAGGAGAACATATGTATGTATGTACTGGAGAAGCTAAAACATCACATCACCACTTAGGCTGCAAGCAATAAACCAAAACCGGAGTCAGGAACACACACCCGGTGCACACGGGATGACAACGAAAGTATGAGGCCCTGAAACAACCCAAATAAACGAAGGCCAAAAAGTACAGAAGAGGGGAGGAAGAGGACAAGGGGCAGGGAAGTCCCTTAAAGTCTGAAGTCAGATCCTTGAGGAGCGCTGGCTGATACACACCAGAGCCACTATTTGCATTCATTGCGCATTTACAACGCTGTAGGAGAGAACCCTGGAGGTTCTTGCCCACCGCTTGCAGATCAAACCATTGCTGACAACGCAGCAGCCAGGACTCGCTCCCCAAAACACTGTCTGACAAGCTGGGTATGAAAAACCTGTGAAAAGTCTCAATAACAGCAATCAGCAAAACCTCGCTGTATCATCCACCATATAACAATGCAGATGCAGATTCAATGTGGTCATCAAATCACATTGTTTGAAGTTTCCATTCTTTTCAACACTCCTTTGGCCAACTCTCCTGCCCTCCAGTCACATCACCTAGTTTATCTAAACAGTAAAATGGGTTTGGAGGTTTTGGATCAGGGATCCATTAGAAAATTCTTGAATGAAAGGCGATAGATAAGTGCAGATAATTATTTTTAGAAAATATTTAAGCAAGCCCTAAATTAGTTTCTAAATCTGTCCTTACTAAAAGTTCATTATTATGAACTGAGCCACCTCTGACAAAAATGGAATTTTCCCCTCTGCTAGATTTGCTTCAAACTGCACATTATTTGGAGAACACTGAATAAAGTGTGTCAAGGGATTCTCTGCTCACTTGCTGTCTACTTTGCTAGTGTCTGGGATTCACAAGGAAAAAAGTCCTGTGTGTGACTCTTCTTGAGGAACTTCTTCTTCTGGTAAATCCTAAAAAGCAGCACCAATGCCATTATCCTGTGGTATGGTTGAGGGCCTTTACAAGGGTATTTACAGCACCATTTTATGCCAGGAGAACTACAATACAAGCAAAGAAAAGAATGCATTTCTAGAATCCCTCATGCTACAATATGGGTCTATGGGAGATACAGAATGGGATCCAGGTCTTCCTAGTTTCATTCTTGTGGTTCAGCACGTGGATGGCAACACCACCTCCAAGTCAAGTCATACTCCCATAGGAAACCAGAAATATAGGCTTTTAATACACTGGCAATAAAAATGAATTATATTCCCCCAAGGAACTGGAAATACAGGTTTTTAATATGCTGGCAATAAGCAAGCTATAAATAACTCAAGAAATTTACTGTTTTAATTTCAAAATTTCTGCAAAAACGTGTTCCACTCTACTGCAACTGGAAACACAGAGTTCTGTGGCTCAAGCTTTGCCACATCTAGTGGCAACATCATCTGAAAGACACCATGGGAACTCCGGTGTTTTTTTCTACTCTTCACTTACAAATGTCCCAGTCCCTCATGTGACACAATGATAAAACAACTCACCATATTTACAAATGACTGAAACAATTTTCCTTAAAAGTTACTAATCCAAAGCACTGAAGAACATTGTTTGCCACGTACACACAGTACATTTAAAATGTGAGGCTGCCCAGTTGCTAATAATTCCATCCAAAGTCTCCCCTATTGCCTCCATGGTTTTCAATAATTAAAACATCTTTGTATTACCAGCAAATGCCTCCTCGATGGCTGCTTGCACCTGCAAATGCTCTTGGGGCTCTCTGTTGTTAGCTTGCCTCTGTTTCTTAGAGGAAACCATGCCATATAATTTGAACTCACTGATGCTGCTATCAGTTTTACACTGATCATCATCACTTCATACCTCCTCTACATTTATTTTCCTCCACAACTTTATGGAGGAAGCTTATCAAAAGGATTTTGAAAATGCAGGCAAATTAAGCCCACTCAGCTACCTTTACCTGTCATTTTATTAGCCTTTTAGCAAGTTACCCAGCTATCATTTTCTCCTACAGGAACTACGTTAGGTTGACTGTACCAGTTTGTACTTAGCCAAATTTTGTACTCTTCTATTCTTAATCATACTGAATAAAAAAAATGAAAGCAAGCATTTTTGTTATTATTATTTTTATTATTATTATTATTATTATTCATGGAACATTTGTTTGATAGTCAAAACCACATTTAAGAGCTTTTCAATAACTGTGCCACCTCCATTTCCATTAATCTTAAAAGCAACAGTAAAAGTAGATGAAATCTGCAGCAAAAAATTTCTTCTACTTCAACAACGCAAGTTAAGAATTTTTCCCTCAGGCCCTCAGCTCTCCCCACCCGTCACAATCACAGGTGACTAGATTTACTTTGCGAAAATAAAGGTAGCAGATGCCCAATTTCTTTTCTATTTGGAGTGAAAGATTACATGGCTGAACTGAAGCTTCTGTATTAGAGAATGTCCTGGTTTAGTTGCCAGCTGGGGTTAAACCATGACACGTTATAATTATGTATGCACAGAGAAGAAATAGATTTGGAGATGGGTATTATGCTGCCACATGCTGTTTCATTTTTGATCCACTGACTTAATCAGTAAAGCACTGTGTAGATTTAAGTAGTAACAATCTTTCATGACTACAGTGCCTGAAATCTCCTTAAGGCATCAGCATGCAGCCTTTGCAGCAAGGGTAACCTGTTGGCTGTGACTTACCACATCGCATGCATGTACGTTGGAGGTAGACGAGGGCTGCTGACAGGGGTACAGTTGTAAGATCTCATAATTCTTTCTGCCAAGAGAAAGTTACGAAATAAACTGGCCACAAGCAGGTCTTGCCTGAAGAGCTTCTGGAAAAGATCTGCCAAGAGATTGCATGAATTACTAAATGTGTATCTTTGTAATTTAAGTACCTTAGGTAATATGCAAAAATCCTTTAAAAAGTAAAAACTTGTTAATATTTTATTCCAGTAACAAGGAATCTACAACAGTTTTGCAGTGACGTGATATGACAACTATCAAAAGGAAATCCTGCCTTCTGAGTTCCCTTAAAGCATCGCAGTTACTCTCCATTTTACATTAACAGAATTAAATACTTTCTACCTCAGGTTCTTTTTTGCCTTTTCTGGACAGGGTTCTCCTTTTGGTGTTTCACTTAAACTGAGCCTGACTAAGTTTCTGGAAATTACTGAGGGAGAAAAGGACCTCTGTGTACTATTTAATCAAGAACTATACACCTGTTAACTGGCAGTTTGATGTGCTCATGAGAAGCCAAAATGAATCCTAAAAGATAGCAAATGTGCTATCTTCTGTAGAGGTAAAGAAGAATTTATGCTGAACTGAGCATTAGAAAGAGCGTAGTTGGAAAACTGTTTAAAAATTTGGCCACCCACGCTCCAAAAGTACAAATTCAAAGCAGAACATGGGTACAGAAATGGGATGAAGTTACTCATGGGAAACGCAGACTGCCTTACCAGCAAAGAGGATAAACCCCTTTATTTATGATACTAACAAAGGCCAGAAGAAAATAGATTGCTTTTTACAAATACAGCAAGAAAGAAAATTATTAAAGCTAAAGCAATCATGTTAGCAGTAGAAAAAAAAAAAAACCTTTCTGGTTTCTCATGATCAGGTTGCTGAAATGCTTCTGGTAAAAAGAGCAAATTAAAAAAAATTAACTACCCTTAAGATCCAGTCTGATCTGTTCTTTCAGTATCAGGCTTTAATTTTCTCCTTATTTCACTCTTCATCCTTCTACTTTGAATAAGCAATGCTCACTTGGGATGAGAATTTGATTCACCAGCCCAAGTCTTACCTCTAGGCAAGACATTCCATGCAATGGTGTCTGTGATAGCGGTGAAGATCCAATTCAGCTCTCCCAGGGGAGTTCTCCTGTCATTCAGTCTTCCAGGAATCCTACAAGTGGGGAAAAAAACCCAAGTATGTTTCCTATTAAAAAACATATTTTTTGAGATACATACACATGCACACCTCCAAGGCTCAATCAAGGCTCACAAAAGGCAGTTTTTCCAGAACCTCAATTCTTAGCCAAGAATTAATGTTGCTAGACAAACTTTCCTTATCCAAAGTCTGTTACATTTGCATTTGCTTGTGAGATTAACTGCCAGATAAAGGATAATAAACAAGGAATTGTTTATAGATAACTGAGCTAAAGGAAAACATCTGGGAAGATATCACAGAGATGATGTTGATTTCCAAGACGCAATGGAAATGCCTTTTTCTTCAAAAGTGCCACTCTGCTTCATTTTATCCATTATTTACTTCTTGCTGAAATATTTAATAATAAATACAATTTGTATTACAAACTGTATGCTCACGATCCATAACGTCCCTGTGTAAGAACTTTTGAGTCATCATATTCCAGGAAAAAAACAATTACTATTTTTTTAAACAGACGGAAGTCTCAGAACAGTTAGAAAACAGTCCTTTTGTTAAAAATTGTCTGACAGTGACACACGTACGTCACAGCTCCCCATTGCTGCAAAGTACTGCCTGTTCACGAAGAAACGCGACCCAGTAAGATTCACCTTATCGTTCCAGCTAGACTATCTTTCAAGTCAAGATCAGAACATGCATGTGCCTGCTACAGATGGTGTGGCTGCTCGTATCCAAGGGGCATGTTTGCTATTTCTTACAAAGACACATAGTTTTTCACCTAGTAGGTTCTTTGAAAACTTGAATTCATTAATTTAGTCCTTGGCTGTCTACAGATTTGTTGCACTGCCATCATTACTGCATGCAGGTGCAAATACAGTATCTTACTAAAAAAGTTATTGAGCATAATCAGCAGCTTTTCTTTCAAACAGGAGATGTTTTCTGCAATTAAGAACTTTCCAAAGTTTCCACAGGCATCCATGGAAATCAGTAACTTGCATGTCAGTTCCTTAACCTAATCCAAGATTTAACATACTGCCCCACAGAAACTCAACAGCAAAAGACATAGTCTTTCGAATTTATATAAATTGGGCATTATTAAAACTAGAGTGAAAAAGATCACTTTGAAAAGCACCTTCTAATGAACAAACCAAAATGCTGCTGAACGCTGCACTCTGGAGCCCTCCTATCACAAAGTCACAGCACAAACTGAGGCACCACGTTTTACCCCTCGCTGGCTATATGCAAGGTTTGACGCTTGTCTAGAAAGAAGTATTTACTTAATCCAGGTTTCAGTGTAGTGGTAGTCTACACACGCTGTGTGTAGTCACTTCATAATCTTACCCACGTGTGCCATGATGGCACCTACATGCCTAAAAAGTATAAAATAATAAAGCAAAATTCTTTTCTTTCTATTGTGTTCTCCCCCCCCAAAGAGAATGAATTCCTTTCCCCTAAAGAGTCAGGGGACTGGCAGCGTGGCACAAGGGAAGCAAACAGCAGGCACTGTCACTGCTGCTGCGAGCTGTTCTGCGACCCACAGCGTCTCGTGGTCTTCCTCCATCTGGTCAATACACATATCTACCTGGCCTGCAACTGGAATATAGTTTCAACCCCAAGAATACCAAAATTGCATCAGCAATACATACCAGGAGTCTATTTGTGGTGTAGTAAGGTACCAAAAATGCTGAGGAGTCCAGCTGCTAATTTTATTAAATACTTTAAAGTAGAAAAAAGTTGCACTAATCAATATCAGGGATGGCAGCTTTCCAAATAGCAATCTGCTCTTGTCCCTGCTCATATGTAGGATATGCAGTGAAAGTGAGCAAAGGGTTGGGTTGTTTGTTTGTTTTTTTAAGATTATATTTTAGACAGGAGAAAATAACCCAAATCATGCAAAAAGCTGAAATATTCATACAGACGTCCCCCTCCTCAAAGAAAGCAAAAGCAGAGGGCCAATTAGTGATTCTGCTGGGACAATCCAGCTGCATGTTACGTGAGCATTTAATAAATAAATGCTTTTAAGTGCACTCCCTTAAAGCCAGAAGGTTATTATAGTAAACACAAGTAGTGTGGGTCTGAAGTAACAGTTTGGTTTGTCACAGTGAAGGCCTTTCTATGACTATGTGTATATATTTTGGCTATAAGATGACTTGCATTTAATAGAAGATTCTGAAAAAACCTGAGTTGTTAACCTCTTTTTGAAAAATCACTGGCATCAGTACACACGTCCCTTAAATCTTGGATTCTGAAGCTTTACAGCAGTATGCTCACTATGGTTTTAACAGTGGCATCTATATATAAAAAGGAACTCTTTGCTCTAAAACTTCCATGTTGCATTAACACTCATCAAGTAGTTAAAAAAAACCCAAACAAACAAACAAAACAAACAAACAAAAAAACCCCAAAACCGAAACAAAAACCAGCCCACTCCAAAGAAACACTAGTTTACCTAGGAAAACCCTATGTATTTAGGGATGGTAACACACAGGCAACCAAGCACAGATCCTTATCACAAGTAGCACAGCAGCCTGTCTTGTACAAGGGAGTGAGCAGTGGACAAAGAGGTGATTTTTGCCTTTTATCACTGAGAATGATACTAGAACATTTTGCCTAGTATTCACATTTTGGCATTCATTTAAACTGCTTAAAAACAGGACATACAGAATATAGAAGATGCAGAAAAAGCTTGAAAACAAAACAAAAGATAGTGAATTAATGTCATACAGTGAGAAATTTAAGGAGGTCATTCTATCTACACTACCAAGGAACAACTTGAACATTGTGGATAAACACCTACTAGAGAGAAAAATCTTGGTGCCAACAAATACCTTACACAAGTGGAGAAAGAAAGAAGAGCACTTGTCCATTAAAAGAAAGGGAAGCAACTCAATCTTCATCTTTCAAAGGTTCAAGGCATACACACTTCAGAGGAGCACGAGTTATTTGACTCTTCTGAGGAGTAACCTAGTGAAATTCTGTAGCCTGAGCTATGCAGGTCAGAGGAGACAAACTAACGGTCTCCCCTGGGCTTAACATTTATTATTCTAAGCATCAATACACCAGCGACAATGGACTGACCAAAGCACATTCGGTGAAGATGGAACAGCAGTGTTCCACCAGGAATTTTGCTGTTCCAGGGTCCAAGATCTTGGCTGATCAGGATCCTGCTTTTGTAGACTGAAAAAAGTCACTCAAATTTATTTCGTCCAGGAACTGAATGAAGATCTCGTATTGTATTTGTTCATCTGTAATACAATGTGAGCTCCAAAGGAACCACAGGGCCAACATACAATCTGATTTCTGTGATTTAAGAGATCAAATGACAGACAGTCTACTGTGACTCAAAATCAACATATGCACAACGCTACTTAAAGAAAGAAAAGTGGCTGTAAACTGTTCTTCAATATCTCTCAGCTTCTGCCTCCACACTGATCAGCTTTCCTAAATATGCTTTCTAATGCTTATTTGCTTCTCACAAAAACAAGGAAAAAAGAAGAAAAAAACCCTCAAAACCCAACCAAGACCAACAGACTCAGTCCTAGCTGTCTTATTAATACTCAGACACTCAAATACACAAACACAACGTGGCACTCTCAAGCACAGCTTTTTTCCCCTTGAGAAAGTATCAGACGTAGGATGGGGAAGTTTCAGAAACATGCACCCCAACCCAGTAAGACATCCTACGGATTTAATCCTAACGCACCCTAGCTTCCCTTCTGTAACAAGTTTTCAAATATTAAAAGTATCAAGACAAACTACATGAAGCAAGTGCTTCCTCTGTGGCAACTTATTCTTCTGATATGTATAGCAGTATTATTTCCAACGCAGGTTCAGACAAAGCATATTCAGTTGTATAAATACAGTTTCTAAAACAGCTAGAAATTAACATTTTATAAAAAATTCCTGTCTGTCTTGGTATCAGAGGAAAAATATACATCTCTGAAACTGTTTGTTAACTGATCCCCCAGAGCAAGCAGAGGGAACACAAGGCCACACAACTGCTCTTGTGAGGATTTCGCATAAATATTTGCATTGCAGAACACCCTCTGCAGCAAAATAGCAGCATTTCATAAGTCAGAATGTTATTAATTAGAAACCAAAGTGATCCTTGCTGAGATTCCCTAGCAAGCCAAATGCTGAGCTTAAACCATTTGATGGCCACTTTCAAGCTGGTTTTCAGTGGAAATAGAAATAGGGTGTTTCACAGTAAAGAGTCTGAATCTTTACAGCAGATGGAGAGTTCTGCGCAAAGTTCATACTAAATTCTCTTTTATTAAACACAGATTGTGAGTTGATACATATCTTACTGATGGTATTAAGCAGGAATGACAGGCTGAAATCCAAAGTTGCTGCTAGCAGCCCAACCTTAGAAACTCCTTGTGACTTGAATATCTACTTTCTTGGGGAATGAGGTATGCTTCTTATTTTTGTGTTTAAAGATTTAAAATAACTACTCATTAGTATAGTATAGGTTTTATTTGGGATTTTAAAATGCATTTGGTATTTTTTTCACAATATGACTGTCCTTTCTAAGAGTGGCTGAAGAATTCATAGAACATACAACTACCGATGGGGGACTGCAGTCAAGACGCAGAAATTAATAGGATGTCATTCTCACATCTTATGTGGCGTCAGGTGAGTTCATTTTCTTTCTGCCCTCATATATAGTCAGGAAGATACTAATTTTGTACCTAGCTCCAGCATTGTGAAGATTAATGCTGTTCAGCGCTTTGAAAACCTATGCATTAGGTGTTAATGGTGAGGGCAGAGAGAACGTGGGGAATAGCACAAGCATGAAAGGCAATACATTTCCATAACTGCACAAAACCCTACCAGAGCTTTCAGATTTTGAACTGGCACTAGAAAGCAGCCATTAGAAGGAAATTGGCAGCAGGGCTGTTCTCTGTGCTGCACACAGGAATCAATTAAAGTTGGAACAGTCAGCACTATAAATCGGCAGATGAAAATAAACACAACGTATTTTCTGTTCCTAGATGGGACTACTCAAACCCTCATCC